CCGTGTAGTAAAGTGACTGATGCACGTTAAATCTGTCGAGTCGCAAAAGTCCTCCATGTTCCCATAACAAATCGATACCTCTGGGGGTACTGGATTGGAGATCGATCGTTCTATGATTCAGGTCAAAATTACGATCTGTGGATGAATGAATGGATGTGTGAATGGGTCCGTCCCATAAAACGGGTTGTGGCGTGTGTGCGGCTGAAGACGAATTCTTGACCATAGGATGGCGCCACTGAAAAACAAGAAACGCACACTCTGCCTTAAATTTGCTCGGCAGTGTGGCAAGTAGCATTAGAAACAACAACAACCATAAGAAAACGTTTATGTGGGATATACCGGGAAAGCGTATACTGAGTAGTAGCACATAATCTTATAAAAAATCAGTGTAAGGTATACCAGGCAAATGTTTTCCGGGTAGTGGCACTTAAACTTGAAAAAACATCAGTGTAGGGTATACTGGGTAAATATATATAGAATAGTGACACTTAACCTTAACGGTAGGTACTTAAGCACTAGATTTACATCGCATTAGCACAATGAGATATTAGTGACTGTCGGGCAAACATACCTGAGGATGATCCGAAGATAAAATATATCGCAATTTTGATCCTCTGCAGAGAGAATGGCTCCCCTGCTTTGGTAGGCCGACGACTTGCGCGCGATATCGAGCACTTTACGGTTGAGCAGTTTAACGAGAACCGATACCACACACTCTCGGTCCTTAAGTAGGCTAATCAAAGTGGTCACCCATCCGCTTAATGATCGCAGTTAGTGATGCTTGACTTCGGTGTTTTCTACTGGGAACCGTGTCTTCATGATCAGTCACTACGGAACATTAACCTTAAAGAAACTTCAGTTTATGGCATATCAATTCAGAGATAGCGCTTAATAATTGGAAGAAAAGCGTGATCCTATAACACTCGTAGTCGCTTTTGTTATCAAAACTTTAAAAATAAATAAATAAAAAATGAAAAAAGTCACAGAATCCATTTTGTGATTGGTTGTGATTTGCTTCGGCACGATAAAACCAATTGATCGATGTAATAGACACTCCTTATGGATGATTTTTTCTGCATAAATGTAAACAACGACAATCTCGAGCTCTTGACCTGCCCTACTTCCGGTTAGAAAGTATACAGTTGCTTACTATACAGCTTATTCTGCGAGGCAATATTTTCAAACATATAATTTAATTTTCAACGAAATAAATAAATTATATAGTTTCTGAGCTTGAATCTGCTGTATTTCATAAAATATCAATGATATTAATTAATTCTGGTGAGTTTGAAGTGAAAATTGATTCTATTCGCATTGTTAAAAAAATTGCATGGATGCTAGATTTTGAAAGTACTCGCTTTTTTGGCAGCCTCTATTCCTCTTTTTACTTGTTCATTATTACTGTTTGTTCTTGTTGCAAGGCGTGCACTAGCATACGTTAGAGTTAACATATTGTTCGAGCATTGAGATTAGCTTCATTTTGCAAATTATAATTTAGATTTAAATTTCGAAGTTGGTATATTGTTGACTAAATAAAGAAGTGTTTAATGACGAATCTTTATTTCAAGTGACGATTCTTACGTCTTGAAATGACTGGTCTTCAAATGACGATTTTAAAACTGTTCTTTTTTTAAACACAAATAATAAATCAGGTAACACGTATACAAAAAATACTGCTCAAGTCAAGAAAGCCTCAAAACCCAATGAGCCAAATGGTTTCAAAATACACCGGAAACAGAAACCTGGAAGCATAGACGAAAAAGAACTTGCAGTGCACCATAGTGTAGAAAACACTATCCATTCAAAAACATTTAAAGTAGACTTGCATTTGTTAGTGTAGCTTTTTTCGCACAAACATAATATCTTTTCAGATGATATTATGAAAGTGCAAACAAACATTTTAATTAAAGAAAAAGTTACTTTCCAAACTAAACAAAACTACTACGTAAGTTTGCTTATTTCTCAACTTGATTTCAACGAACATTGTTTTTACCAACGTAAGCACTTTCGCTTCACGGTATTGTACAGATGTCTCAAGCGGTATTTAGCTGCCGCGGTATTTTTCAGGAACTTAAACAAAGTTTGCAGTTCAGAAATTCTCGAATATGAAGAATCTTCCAAGGAATTTTATGTCTCTGGGTACCTTCAAAAAACCTGGGAGAGCACAATACCGTAAAAGAATGTTCGAACCAATGTCTCGTTGTAATTTTTACATATATCATGTCGAGAAATAAATAAAGTATATGTAGTAGTATAAAATTTATTGAATATTTAGTTGTTTTTTTTTTCATTAGATATATGTCAGGAGTCAAACATTATGAAAGCAGAAATAATTACGAAAGTGATTGATAGTCTTACTTTTGAAAAGGTACTTGATTCGGGATCCAAATCCACTGTAGCTATGAAATCAGGAATATTCGTTGTTTGCCATTTAGCAGATACACATGTAACATAAGCCAGTTTTTCTCTTTCTGCCGACTTGAAAGCTTCCAGAGGACTGTTGTAACCAATTTGGCGCACAGGGGACGCTGTTTACAAAAAAATTATTTAACACCTGATATTTTTACTTAATGTGTTCTATTTTATTTTGTTTCAAAAAAAATTTTTTTGAGTGCTTCTCACTTTATTGTATTGATATATTTTGCTTTGGATACATTGATACAATATTAGAAAGCACTCCTTTTGGAGGATACAATCGTNTATATATATATATATCTTTCCACCTTGTTAATGTACAACGCTGCCATTTATCATGCAAATAAGTACATATTTTAAATGTATAATCCTAAGTTCCTTTCTACAGTTCGATTATGTAGAATGTTCTGCAATCGCTGAATTTAATATAATATTTTAGAATTTTTGACAAAAATGAAGTCAAGAAAGTACATATATTAAGGGTCTCAAATTAATACTTGAGCCAGTATGACACGATACGCTATCGAACTCTGTTTAATCGATTTTGAGGAGAGGGTGGTAAAGAATATCAAAACCAATTTGATTTTCTGGTTAACCTTGAAATATTTGTTAAATTTTTTTCTTCTATATTTATGCTTTAAACAAATTAGGTTCTAAGTTTCTGTAAACACTCAATCTACTAATAAATATTCTTAAAAATACTGAAAATCATAATATATTATAATTCAACATCAGTAAAATGAAAAACGATCAATTTCTTTAATGTATATACGGTTTGTAATCTACATATTCCTTCAGGGAAAATAACTAAGCAAAACTGTAAGTGAAGATATAAACTTTTCTTGGTGGAGAACAAATTATTGCTTTTTTCTACAAATTTGGTACAATTACTATAATTCCTAATATATACAATCTGTTATACGAGTTTAGTACAGTAAGTTTATAAACATACTACTAGCAAAATAACAGGGGAAAAAATGGAACACTTATAACTTTTGACCTAATGTTCAAAGTTTCATAAACTAAAATGCAATCTTAATATTTCGAAATACCAATCAATGCAAATTAGTTTGTGCAATCGATGTTTATGTAAATGATGTTGATGCAAACGCGACACAAATGCGTATTTTATCTGAATAAATATTCCTATTGTTTCTACGTATTGTTTCGGCTTACCATTGTTTTTTTATTCTTATACGTATTCTCGATTAAAAAAAGGAAATATTTTCTGGTTTCTTTAGAAAAAAATTAACGTAACATTATATTTCTACTATTTTATTTTTGAAGAAAAATTGGAAAAAGTTTTTAAAAAAAAAAAACTGATGTGAAAAACTGAAACAAGGTGAGTTGTGAGATTCAATTGCAATTATAAGTTTGAAAGAATATTTGAAACAAATAAAAGCATTTGAAGTAGATATTTCTCAATAAATTATTTTAAATTGCCAATTAAAAAATTTATGTAAGAATTTGATTGATCGCATGAATGTTGAGTTTATTGTCCTAGGAAGAGAAGAGTCTGTATCTGCGTAACTATGCCAAACTCAAGCAAAATTTTGTACTCAAGTAAATGAAAAGGTTTTATTAATTTACAAGGGAAAACTAATTTCTTAATTAGTAATTTCTTAATTTCTAAGCAACAATGTGAAAAAAGTCAAAGAATTTTTATAAAACTTCTCAACTGCCTAGCAACGAAAGCAATATGATAACATTTCTCATGAACATTAACCAAACTCAAAATTTTACAATTATTTACAAATTACTAAATAAATTTTATTAACAGCCTCGATTACTTTTTAGTGACTGTCCATTTATTGTACAATTTTAAAAAAGTAATCGATGTTTCAAATTTGAAAAAAGCAGTTTTATAATTCGGCTAACTAAAAACAAATATTTTTAAATTAAAAAAGCATACAATTATTATGTATCTACTTAAAATAAAATATTGATAAGTTTTAAGACATTTAATCAAAGTAAATATCTAAAATTTATTACATTTCATTGATATAAATAATTTTCTGATTAATGTGCGCATTGTAATTGCAATTTTGTTAATCATAATTTCTCATAAAACTGTCTTACGATTTCGATACTGTGTTACTATATTTACACTAATTCAAAAAGTGGTTATGCGTGTATGAATTACTTTATTAGACATTCATAATTTTATATTTTCATAGTAAAAAAAATATGTTGAGCAAAGACTATTTTAATCGAGAGTTATTATTAAACCAGATGGTGGAAGTGCTTGGTATAATTATGCGAATTCTACTTCCGGACATTTTTGCATTTTGAGATTACTAAAGCTTTTATTTATCATCCACACAGGGTTTTTGTTTTTTCGTTTTAATATAAATACGGAGATAGTATTTTAATTAAAATACCTTTGTACCAAGAGTGATACAAATTTTGAAAATAAAATAACAATATTATTACTTACCCATGCTCGTAGCGTCTTATCAACGAAAATAACAACTTCCTTCTGAAGTTCACTGAAAGTTCAAGATCAATTGAACTAGTTTTAATGTCATGCGCCAAATTGAAAGATAACACTATCACCCAATAAGACAGATTTTTTTTTTCTACTACAGCTATTTTTTTACTTCTTCGTCATTTACTTTTACAATTTCATCAGTATTTTTACCAACAGTTCATTTGCTCTTGTATAAGAATATTTTTTTAATGAAAATAACGCTATTATTACTCGTTTCGGTATTTATTTTGCAAGAATAAATTCAAGAATAAAACTTATATAATTCGAATTTATGTCTCATGCTTTTTAATTTAGTAAAAAAAAAAGTATAAAAATATTTTAGACGAAATGTGCGTTCAAGTTAACTGTATAAACTCTGCTGAATTTATAACAAGAGATAACAATATTTGAATTACACATGTAAAGTAAAATCGTCATATGAAGTAGGAAAAAAAAGTGTAGTTGCAAAGTTTTGTAGTTTCATGAGATAAAAATAAATGAATGAAACAGCTTTTATTAAAACTAATTTTTAAGAAAAATAATTAGCAACATTTAAGCATTTTCGTTGAATTTTTTTTTTAAAATCATGATCAGCGACTGTATGAATTTCATCAATTTAAATTTTTTATAAATTATTAATTTTAACATTGAAAAAAAAAGGAATAATGCATATTAATATATATATTNNNNATATATATATTCAATAGCCATTACATTTTTGTAACCTCATTATATTTTGTCTTCGTTTATTAAACGCAGACCTAAAAGCAATATATTTAATACAAACAATAATTTAAATAATGAAATTGTACTTTCTATGCATAAGCAAACCTTATCTTCTCCGAATTCGTATTCCTGAGGACGCAATTATAAAATTTGTTTACGCAAAGATAATTTAAGGCAAAAGAAAAAAGATCAATATTTTATCATTTTTAATTTATTCAATAATCTAAAAGGATATGCATTGTGACCTATGAAATGTTTATATCCTTTAAAGTAAATAATTTTGCCTTCAGTACAATTGAACTGAATTAAAGTAATGTGGTGCAATTCTATAAAAAGAAATTCTGTTTCTTACAACATTAATCGTTTTAGTGAAGTTTACATTAAAAAATAATAACGATAAAAAGAAAAAATTGTAATTTTTAAAATAAAAAAAAATAAAAAAAAAACGAAGTCTAAGCTATTTAATTATAATTATTAATTATTGGAATTATTTAAAGAAAATGACTGGTGTAAAAATATTTAAGCTCGAAAAACTGAGAAAGCTGTGAAGTGCAAGTTAGTGAAATGCATTTCACTAACTTTCATGTTAGCGTTTAGCGACTCTTTCAACAAAGAAAAAAAGAAATGCGAATCGCCCTCTATTTCTAGAAAAAAACTGAAAGATATGTATATATATATTCATGAATACGATAATATATTAATGAAAAAAAAAATTAGGTTTCGAAATGCATTCTTCGTACCAGTCTTTCACGTAGGAGAAAAAGCAACTGTGATTTGAACTCAATTTCTAAAAAAAAAAAAAAAAAAAAAAANAAAAAAAAAAAAAAAAAAAAAAAAAAAAAAAAAAAAAAAAAAAAAAAAAAAAAAAAACGGAACGAAAGTGATTAGTTCTATTTCAAGAAAATAACTTCCGTGCAAAATATTTTTGTTCAGAAAATAAAGGCTGCGAGAAACAAATTTGTAATATGTCTGTCTTAACATTCAAATGCCATTTGTAGAAAAAAAAAACTCAAAAACTGTCATAATTTTAAAGAATGACTCCCACAGAAAATACTGACGTTCGTAAAAATAAAGCTTCAAGGAAAAAATCTGAAAAATTCATTTCTGAACCATCTTAGTACACTTTTTGTGAAGCAAAAAAAAAAATATTTTTTTCACTGCTTTTTCCAGAAGAAGAAAAAAAGTAAAGCTCAATTCCAAATAACAAGTATGTAATGAGAAATAATAAAACAAGCTTTTATTTTTCTGAATCTATAAGCTGAAAATTTTCGATATGACGTAGGGTTGATATAGGCGATATCTAAATTGCACATTTGAAGTCAGTTTTAAAACAAAATAAAAAATGATAGATCTCATACTTTGTACAAGGCCAAACATATGTATTGACAAATATTTTCCCATAATAATAAAAAAATTTCCATATATATTAGATTAAAAATAGTTATAAGTTACAAGTAACGTATTGTATTTATATGTAATAGTTAATGTACTTTTTTCGCTCCTTTAATTGCATCTAAAGAGCAGCCATCATCCATGGACACGACAACAACAATGCATTTTTTTGAATGATTCATCAAATCCCTCAATGAAAAAAAGACAAAGAATTTTTTTTTTTTTTTCGTACTTCCCCATTTAACCAGGGCAGGCGATGAAGAAGCCAATGCTAAGTCACTGGGCTCTAGTAAGTTCAATTGTTTTTCATTAACATTTTTAGCAGACGGATATTTTTTATAAAAATTAAGAAATCAGCTGAATTCACTTGTGCAATGGAAAAGTACCATTTTTATTCCCTGCAACAAGTAGATTTTTACAAATTATAATAATTAATGTATGAAATTGCTTTCTAAAATGATCACATTAAAGATTAAGCATCTTATTAAATTACAATACTCAGGGGTCTGTCTAGGTTTTTCTGTGAAAATTTAGACATAATTTGTAAAAATTAAAAATTTTATTAAAAAATCAACACAAAAATATGGATTTATCGTTTCTTACAGGATGCAAAAATAAAATTTTAATAAAAAGTATTTTGTGAAACTACCGTTTTTCCTAAAGTTGAATTTGTGAAGGCACAGCTAAAGTAAGGTAGTAAATTTGGCATGGACAGACTTTGGCTTGACATATTTGAAATTCTTTCTGCTTTGAATTTATAACTTTTGGATAGAGTGTGTTAACTTAAGTTTAATCCTCCATTATGCAATCGTAAAGAATCAATAGAAAGGTTAAGGTAATTTCATTTATTACTTCTCAATTGTGTCGCACAATTTGTATTCCTAAGTATAAACATTTTTCATCTTAGGTTTAATCTTACATTATCGAATCATAGCGAGACATTTGTCCCACTTAAATTTAAAAAAATAGTGAAATAGAAAGATTAAGGCAATTTCATTTATTACTTACTCTATTGTGTCACAAATTCTGCATTCCTAATTATAAACATTTCGTTTTTCAAATACAGTTAATTATTTCTGAAACCTAGGTAATTGCTTATTTTGTTACATTTAACATATTAACAAAATATTCTTACATAAAATTATATTTTTCATAAACCAAATTAAATTTTTTTCATCACCTTTTAAATAAAAAAAGATGGAAGAGAAACAATCACTAGGGTTGATAAATGAAGCCTCCCATCTTTAAAAATTAACATTTAATCATTCTAAACGTCGTAACCATCAAGCTTTTTGTACAAAGCGTCAAGGTTGAATTTAGTGGATGAAATGAAAAAAGTAACAAGGATTGCTCTCGTTAAGCAATTATACAACCAAAGCAAGGATTCCTTCATCAGATCAGTGCAAGCCAAGGCTTTCTAAGTCTGCTTCCTCCAGGCAGTACAACTTATTGTAAGCTTTCCCTCCCAATGCTCTCAAATCCTTCTCGTAACTGTCTAACCACCTTGTAGGGGGTTTGTCTCTTCCTTCTTCTTGTACCCTCGATTTTTGAGATAGTCAATTTTTTAGCTGGATCTAAATTTTCATATCAAAAAATGTGTCCCAGTCATCTCCTCCTGTAGGACTTAATAACTCTCAAAATGTTAGGTTGTTTATATTCATTTTATATTTCATGGCTATATAAATGCCTCTGAAAATTACTAAGAAGACTTTCAAAAATGAGCAATCTATTTTTCTCTAATTTATTAATTACCCAGCTCTCACAACCAGACAAAACAATTGGTCTAATCAGAGTTTTGCGTAATTTGACTTCAGTACTTGTAGAGATGAATTTCGATTTTAACTGGTGTCTTAGACCTACATAAGGGATTGCACACCATGTTCTTTGACACTCACTACCTTAAATTTTGTTTCCTTCTCACTCATTGCCAAGCTCAAAATTCTAGGTTTTAATTCAATATAAAATGTGTTAAAAGAAAGGATATGTTTGAAATATTTAGAGAAAAAAATAAGATTACAAGATCTGCTCGAAATCTGAAGTCTGTTAAGTAAAAAATTCACCTCACTGTTTGAAATCTATTTTGAAAAAAAAAAAAAAATTTAAAATTTTCTAGGTTCTTAGAAAAAGTTTGCAAACTAGAGAAATTTGCAAAATAGAAGTTCAATAAATGAAAATCCAAGAATATATTGCCAAGTAATTGTGTGTTATCATTTTATAGGTAGTGTTTTAACAAATGCAATATAACTAATTGATAAACATTTATACTATTATTTAACTGCCAAGATACACATAGAAGATTGGTAAATCCTATAAATTATTATTTAGAATTACAAATAAATTTTACTATTTATAGCAATATTTTAAAATTTAATTTTTATTATAACTGGTTAACATATTCAATCAAAACAATGAAGTTGAAATTAGTTTTTAAAATGGATAGGAGTATTGAAAAATTTACTTTTTCTATTGTTGTTAAATAATCACTTTGGGGAAAATCTTAAGCTTTTTTAAATAGTAACCAAAAAATAAATAAGAATTTAGAGGACAGACTTGTAAAAAAAATTGCCAATTTCAAGGAAACGGCATTCTTTCCTTACAGTAGCTCAATCAATAAAAACTTAAAATCAAATAGAACTTCAATTTTTTTTAGAAATTGAAAATAATACAATTGATTTAAATTTAAACTGTGATCTGAAAAACATTTGGAAGATCTCTGAGTTGAGATTTTGGCGAGCATAAACACACTAGTATTTTGAAGAAAGGTTAATGCAATAAAACACATAGGTATATTTGAATGAAACAATTATCTTAGAAGGAATTATCTGTTACTTTGAGAAACAAAAATGATTGTGACTGAAAAAATGATGGGGATTAGCAAGCAAAATAAGTAATTATTTCTTATTTTTAAGAAATAAAAACAAATTTCAAATCTAAGGTTGATTTATTCAAGTACTTTTCTTTAAATCATTAGTTTAAGTCAAAAAAACTGTTTTTTAAAACATATTGATTTTAATTTTTTAAAATACATCATTGATTATAATTATAATGGGAAATAATTTAAATTTTTTATTCTATAGTTATAAAATTAATTATCACAGAATTAATAAATTTCAATTAGCAAAATTAAATAAGTACCTGGTGTGAAATAAATAACTACAGCTTCTGCTTAATCTTAGAAAGCTTTGGTAAAAAATAAAGTGAGTGTGTAATGCATTTTTTATATGTTTTTATACATCTTTAAAATGTAATTATTGAAAGGTAATTTTTTTCACAAAAAAACATAACGTTGATAAAAATTCTTCCAATTGCTGGTTTTAAAAACACATCAAAACTACATTTTGTTTAAAGATATATATGAACTATGTATAAGCAATATTAATTAAGAAATCACTGTATTAAGGCATAAAAGCAGAACAAATATAAATTTCTCTTCTTGTTTTCTTATAAGAAACAAGTATAAAGATATATTTGTCAAACTGTTGTTATGGTATAGTACAAGGCTACACAAAGTTTAAAATAAAAAATCTGCGAAATTAATTTGGTGATTTTTTAAAGCCTGTTTTTCAATTGTTATAATGGTAAGTATAAATTGTATTTAATTAGAATCTTGAATTCATATGCATTAAACATTTCTATAAGATTTTTTTTCAGGCAGTAATCTAGTTTAAAAATTACATCATAATTTTTAATACAACAAAAAAGCTGCATTATAACTATAAATATTCTTTTTTTAAATTATCGCAGCAAAGAAATATTTTTACTAAACAAATTTATAGTTTAATATTTTATTGTAAAAAGAGCTGCATAGTATAAAATAGAAAATAAATGAAATTAGTATTTAACATTCATAAAACTAGCTATTATTGTTTTTATGAAAAATATCTGTATTTGAAAAAAATATTAGTTAAAGTATTATTATTAGTATTAATAAAATAACAGTTCTTGAAACATGCACACACTTTAATTGAATATGTGGGTTACTTATATTCAAATATCACGAAGTATTTAATTATATTCCGCCATGCACACAGTGCAACAGGTGTTTAATCACTTAGTTACCATGCATGTACAATTAACCATTATTTATTCCCCATTATAAGGCCTCTAATGGCAATGTGGAAAAAGTGCACTGTAAATAGGTAAAAGCACTTTTTTTAAAATTTAACCATTGTTAGTTTACTTAATTAATATAAAAATATTTAGGAACACAAGCCAGTAAAATATTGAACAAAATAAATCTCTGTTTCAGTTTTATAAAAATCACTTTTACTGTTTTCTTACAGCTCAACATTCAAATATTTTCTTTATAAAACATAACATTTAAATAGTTATAAATTGAATACAACATTCTGTAAGTCAACTGGATGTAATTCCAAATCAACTTCATTTTCAAAGCTTTCATTGGTAAATATATCTAAATGTTTAATTTTCTTCTTCGGAGGTTCTTCATTCTCTTCCATATAGTCAATTTTATTCATTACAGCTACTTCTGCAAACAGGTGTAATACTTCTTCCGGGGTTGAATTAATTAACTTGTCGGGTAGCGACAATCGACCTTTGTTTTCACAACCAGACAGTATGTGTTGAGCGTATAATTTAACCGCTGGATTATAATGCTTACGAAGTATATGAAGTTCCCACAGAGCAGTCGAGTGAGGATTACAATGTTCAGGATCTTCAATTTCTGGCAAATATATTCCACTACCAATAGAACTTTCAGAGTCAAGTAATATGTCAGATCCCTTAACATTTAAAATAAGGTTTCGCAATGAACTCAGTAATCCCAAGGTACCATGCACGGGAGTCTGTAAACTCACAGTACAAACTCGTTTTATGAAGGCTAACATCCTATTAGAAGATATTCTTTTCTTTTTTCTTAATATGTTAAACTCTAAGCACTTCAGAGTTAAATCAAGATGCTCTATATCCGTTGAATGACTTAAATTCCATAGTCCTTGATACATATGGCAATATATTTTATGGGGATCTATGTGCAATGATTCAGCTTGTCCTGCCAGAATTGTAAATAAAGTGTAAACGCCGTGCAATTTCTCAACATCATTCAGTTTACCTGATTCCATCATACCACATAACACAGCATTCAGGTCATCGAAAAATTCTAAATTTATTAAATGAGCGAATTTTGAAAGACCTTCTAATGCAGGAGCAATAAGAATCATCTTATCGCCGTCTTTCAGAATGTGGAAAAACACCCAAAATATTTTGTTTAGCGTTTTAGTGTGGTGTTTCCTGACAGTTTCAACACTTTCATAGGCTTGAGTTTCTTTCAACTCTGCTTCCAATTCTTTCATCTTCTTTTTATCTCTACGCTGCGTGCGAGACATTCTTTGCCATTCCTTTCTGCCTTTATTCATGTCAATCTTTTCAATTTCCGGCTTGGCCTCACGAAGATTCAAACTCAGAAATGATCTCAGCAAAGCAGGAGGAATTCTAAACTTTCGCTGTTTTATAACACTCACTATTTGCTTCACTAATTCTTCAGAAGCTTCCCCTAATTTATCAGCCTTAAACATTTTTTGAAAGGCATCACAGCACAACTCAGTAACTTCTTCCTCACCGTCAATAGCTAATGGCACTAACTTATTAATAATATCTCTGAAGAAATTAAAGCTGAAACGAGTCTTCAGCAACTCACACTTACATTTCAACGCAACCAATCCGATTTCGATAGCAACTTTTTTAAAGGTTAAAGAGGCAGACGACATTTGAGTAGATCTCATATCCCGAATAAGCTCATACAGTAAATCTAAATACTTCTTGTAACACTTTAACAGGGTTTGTTCGTATCCCAGCAATTTTTTCGTCTCCTTCTTCAGTTTAACCTTCGAATCAGTTTCTTCTTGTAGCCTGATTTTATAGCCTGGTAGAATATCAGAAAACACATGCAACAGAGAGAGGCACAATATTTTCTTTTCGCTTACAATCATCTTAGTGGTTGGATTTTGGAGCATGGAAATGAGTTCCTTAAGAGCCAACATATTATTATCTGGGTCCTCAATTAAAGACGTACAAATTAGAGCCACCTTTCGTTTCAGTTCTTGCAGTTGCTTCTTCTGATGAGCATAGGTCTCGATCAAATTTTCAGATTTAATGTTTTTGACGGTTTTAATTTCAGGAGACTCGTCCTCAGAATCAGGTAAAATTTCCGATCTAAACATCAGCCCTTGTTTGTTTTTAATGGGAAGCAAATTTCGGACTTTAGTACTTTTTCGAATACGTGGTTGCTTCTCATAATTTTCTTCAATATCACTACATTCAGACGAAACAACTTCAGTTTCTTCTTCGCTTTGTCTGTTTTTCTGTTCATGATTGGATTTGAAATTTGATTTTTTCTGTTTAGAAAAACTTTTCTTCTTGAAGTTTGCCTTATTCTTTTGCTTAACATTAGATTTTGATTTGTCACGTTTTTTAAATTTTGTTTCCTTACGAAGTTGTTTCTTTTTTACGCTCATTTTATACCTTTTTATTGGATCAGAGCACGTTTCTGTGAAAGTAAACAAATTTCGGCAAGTCAACAAAAAGTACGCGGTTGAAGTTGCAAGGAAAGGCATCAAAAAAACTGAGGCCTATTTCTAGCTTATTTTGTTCACGCTAACAAATATTCTGATAGAATTTATCCATTATTTTTTTATTATGGAGGCATTCAAGCAAGAGTTTTTATCAAATTACAATGATTTAATACAATTTTATTCGTTTTTATGAGTTTAATCGTTTTCGTAAAATAAGTCTTAGAGATTACAAGAGAATTAGAAGTAAGATAACATTATTCACCATGTGCCGAAAAGAAAAACAAAAACAAGTCTGCAAGTGGGGCTATTTGTAAATTTTTAATAATTTAAGTTATCACAAAAGGGCATAAACACTAAAAGAATTTATTTATAATAAATGAACACGTGTTTTAAGTGATTTCAAATGCATAAAAATGTCGATTGAGGAGAAGTTCCTTGCCGCCGTTGATGTCGTCAACAGTATTCCATACGATGGTTACTATTTATACATGATGATTGATTTTATACCTTTGATAAACTTAATTATTGCTATTATATAATTTAATTACTACATTTAAACTTTGCTGTCCAGTATCAAAAAAAATTGCAATTTATTATATTCTCGACTTAATGCTTAACTTTAGGATTAATCAAATTTCAAACTGATAGTAAAACTTGTTAAGGTGATGTGCCCTTGAGGCCATTCAAATGCTATTTGTTTGTTGCTTAAATGTATGAGATTGTCTGTAAAAAGATAAGATTCTGGTGCTTACGATTTTGAAACCTTATTTTTGTGCATTGAGTTTCTGGAACTTAATGCAATTGTTAACACATAACTTAAAATGTTGAACAACTCTCTACAGGGCTGCAAAACAGTCGGCCTTTTTTGAAAAAGTCCAGTCGGCTGGTTTTTATTAAAAGAATTAACTCTTATTTTTTTAAAAAGTCAGCTTTTTTTTTTGGTTTCTTTAATTTTTTACTTTATTTCTCAATTAACACGTGTTTCATTAAATTTACTTTATTGTTTACTATTTAGTAAAAACATATTAAGTATAACTCACATTTAGCTAAAAAATTTTATGATGCGTTTAGTGTCTAAAAGGCACAAACAGTCATTATCTACCTTAAGTTACACAATGGCAATATCATTTAAAATATATTTTCATGATTTAAGAAATGTTGTGAGTACTTTATTTACAATTCTATGTACTACAAAAAGTAATAGATTATGATAAAAATAATAAATTATTAATATGATTTTAATAATCAATTTTTTATTTTATTAAATTATTAATTAAAAAATAATAACTTATGAGGCAGTATTGAGCTGTTTAGTTTACTGATCCACTAAAACTATAAAACAGAAATATATAAGTTGAAAATTTCCATTGTGTTTTCAAAATAGCTTAGACATAAATGAAATATATCTATTTAATTTGTCATTAATTTTTAATAAGGTAATTAAGATTTTTTTATTAGTGGTTTTAAAAGTCTAATTCTGTATTCCTACAGATAATTTTTTAATGTACTGTTTAGTTTCTGTTTAAAATAAAATTTAAAACAGTAGAAAAACGAGTAACTATTTTTAATAAGCATAGGAAAAAGGAAATATATCTTTTCACAATTTATAACATTAAAAATAAATTCATAATAAAATAGTTATTCTAGTTTGAATCCTTACTGCACACTTTTACTTTAGTATTAAGTTTTATTTTACTTCAAATTTTTAAGTTTATTTTTTAAGGACACTAAATATTAGTGATTCTGGTTACACTACTTACTTTGACACCACCCTAAAGTCTTTCTAAATTTATTACAATAATGATAGAAAATATCCGAACTGTATATTTTAATTGCTCCAGAACAAACCTTCTTCAAAAACTGTGCTAAATCTTCTTTTTATCTGGAATTTTCTGTAAAACAGTAAGATTAATTTAAAGTAATAATAAAAATCTATCTTTTGTTGTAAAAGTTGGGAAATCCATTATTATACTTCCTAGTAGTTTAATATTATTCTTAACATTTCTTAAGATCTCTATTACTCATTTATTAAGATTTCTTAAGATAAGCTTGTTTCTCTTTCTGTAATGGTTAAACCACTCTGCATATGCCCATCTTGTTATTTTTCTACAGTCATTATGTGTTTGGATCATAAGAAATTGTTCCTGTTTATTAAATCAAAACTATAGCATGACCATTTATGTACTTTCATTTATGCTTTATTCATATTATTTTGATATATTCATACATAAGACAAAGTATACCTATATCCTTATTTGCATATATATATTTTAGAAGCCTATCATATAATACATCAATATTATAAGATAGGCTTCTAAAATATCTATACAATTAAATGCATATTTTATTTGTTCCTAGTTATGAACTAAACTTAAAATAGACACAAATAGATAAAATAGCTAATGACTTTTGTTTCAATTAACATTTCAAATGAATAATGTTGCATACTTTTAGAGGATAGCTTATATGAGAATTATCAAAAATTTAAGCCAGAAATCCCTAAGAAGACAAGTGATGACGCTTGCTTTACGATAGGGCTAATTAGGATTGAGCGTGTAAACTCTTTGGCGTAAGCCCCAAGACATTAACAGATAAAGCAACTCTAACATAAATCGTTTAAAGATATAGCATTTAAGCAAGACCTAGACTAAAGGTAGAGGTATGCAGAAGACATTAATCACTCCCTCTCTGAAATATAAATGGTGAATTAGTTTTTTATATCATTTTAGATTAGTGTTTTGTATAAATTAAATAGATTTAAAAACTGTTATGGTTTGATTGCATTTCAGTAAAGTTTGTTTTAGGAAAACCGAAACATTTAATTAAGAAAGTAAATTAAATTACTTCTGTTCCCCTGTTTTTCTGCTCAATAGTTCAGTAAATAAAATGATCAACATTCTCTTTACAAAGGACTTGAATCTACTTTATCTCTTTAGCATTTAATGTTTGAGTATCTATATTTTATATCTTAATCACAATTTTTCTCATTTAGGAACTTTTGAGCCATCAGATGAGATTATGCTGAAATTTTATGCCTTTCAAAAGCAAGCAACTGAAGGTCCGTGCAAAGAGCCTAAACCTTATATTTGGAACACTATAGGGAGAAGCAAATGGTAATTTATTCACTTGTCTTTCAACATGATAAACTGTAATAGTAAACTGTTTGATTTTGTATAAGAACATAGATGTGAAAATGCAGCATAAGAGCTCTAGCTCATAAAGCAGCATTAATCATAAGTAAGAAAAAATTCTAGTCAGACAAAAGATAACAATGATTTGTGTGTGAATAGCGTACAATAGCCAACAATCAAACAGTTTACAATAAAACTACATTCAATTACAGTGTACAACAACTGCTTGAAAGTAAGCAACATTAGCATAGCAAGCTAGCATTAGTAGACAACCATTTACTAATGTTACTTACTCTCTATGGGCTTAATATGACATTTCCGCCCCTACATTCCTTTATGAAATATGCTTATTTTAGGTCTCCTCTACCTGTCTTAGCATTCAAACCATCCTGTATATTGATAAATTTAATTACATATATTTATAAATTATTAACTATACTTTATATATTATTAATATATTGTTAACTATACTTAATAAGGAATTTATTTTCGTGACTGAACAAGTTTTGTCCGCTTTTCTCTTAAAATTTAATTTGATATTATGCTAGCCAAATACCCATTCTTCATGCGGGAGAAAAGCAAAGCACCGATTACTGAGTACTGAAAAACACTACAAAATCATACACATAACTTTCAGGCTAATACTGACACAAATAATAAAGCTAAAATGATACCAATGTTTTTTATTTATTTACTAATATTTTTTGCCTTTCTTGGTTGATTTACATTATTAGATTAAGCAAAAGTACATTTTTAACAGCTCATCCCATCAAAATAAAGATTGACTGTATTCTGTATCAAATGACATAATGCTGTTGCTCTAGGCAACCCATTTTTAAAATATTCCACAGTCAAGCTGCTTCTTCCAGTACTTATATCTTTGAGGGATCATAAAATCATAATCTATCTTAAAAATGTACGGTATTGGTGCAGCTGTAATCGGCACCAAATTTACATTAAAATGCATTGTACCTATCTAAGAGTATATTTTGTACCTATTAAAACTGCACCAATTTCTATGATGCTATTAGTGCCTATTACCAAATTTAAGCATCATTGGTGTCAGTAATACTATGGCTACTTTTTACAGTATCCCATAATAAATAAGTACAATTTCCTATTAATTTTGCTTTTTAGTTGATGGTTTATTTTTTTATTTCAATTAGTATCAATTACCAAAATTAGTTAAGCATCATTGACGTCAATAATAGTTTGCCGATTTTGACATTCTCTAAAACGAATTTGTACAATTTCATTATTATTTTGCCTTATAGTACATAGCTTATTTTTTACTTTAATTTGTAATTATTACCAAAATAAATCATCATTGATGTTAATAATAATATTGGTGTTTTATTACATTTCTCTTCAACAAATTAATACTATTTCTCCCTTAATTTTGCTTTTAAGTTTAAAACTTTTTTTTTATTTCATTTATCATTTACTTTAAATTATATAGTTTTATAAAAACATGTTTTAAAATCATAATTATAAACAAAATAAATATGTGGTTTCAGATTGCCATAAAAATATTAATCTGGCAAAATAGTCTGCTTATGTACCTTTGATCACATCAAGGGCGCCGGCAGGGGGGTGCAAGGAGGTGCACTTGCACCCCCCCTGGCTTTTTTTCAACAATTAAAGAGGTACAGAAAAACAATTTTGTTATAAACTTTTTTAATTAAAAACATTTTTATTCGAAAACAAATAATTAAGTAATTATTGATATATAACAATTAAAAAATTGTTTAATCAAACAAGAATTGTAATCGTCTTGTTTGCTGTCCAAATCTGTTTATAACTTTTTCAATGAATTCTGAGTCATCTTTAATTCTTTTCTTATGCACACTGAGCATGCATTAACTACTTAATCTCTCGTGAGACATTGTAGACCTATTCCATGTTTTGATGCGTCGCATTGTGCTAAAAGTGCGTTCAATAGTGCACGTAGTAGCTGAAAGAGTTAGGCCAATTTTGATTACCTCCGCTACTACTGGATAAAACGGTGTGGCCTCGATAACTAAATCGATGTATTAAAGGGATTCATAAGAATTTTCTCCATTCCTCCACATTTCGTACCACGTTGTAGCTTCAGTGATGAAATTCAGGGAGAGCTTATTTTCGCAACCGGAACTTACTTCTTTTCTAATGTTTTTACTTAGGCTGATTCAATCATCGTTGATTAATAAGAAAAATTCATTTTTAGGAAAAATACATAAATGTTAAATAAAGGTTCTTTGAAGTGTGTTTGTTTTTAAAGTCTCTAAATAACTCAATATAAAGATCTGTACGCAAACATTACCTTGAATTATTACAGAATAAAGCTCTACACTATTTTATTTAATTTTTTTTTAACTTAGGCTTTATTTGTTTCTACTCAGTGATGAAGCCAAGGGCCCATGTTATCCCTCTCCTGTAATTTTGAGTTTAAAAATATATATAATCTCAACAGAAAGAACTTTTCTGTATATATGGTGTTATAGATAGNAAGGGCCCATGTTATCCCTCTCCTGAAATTTTGAGTTTAAAAATATATATAATCTCAATAGAAAGAACTTTTCTGTATATATTTCTTAAAATTTTTCCAAAAATAATTTTTTATCTAATATATGCAGTATTCTTATTCTTTAAATTTCAAGATATCATCTAGCGTAATTTGAAATAAAATTGCTATTTTCCCATAATGTAATGTAAAATTTAAGGTAATAACTAAATAGAGAAACAAGACTTTTAACACTAAATAATTCAGATTCGTGTGTGCTATATTTGACATATAAAAAATAAAGTTACTTCAAACCAGAGGTGGAATTTTGTGTGGCACACAAACTTAATTTAAATTGAAAAAAAAATAATATTTTGAAAAAAATTTTAATATAAAAGAATTAGTAAAAATTAAAACAATACAGAAATCACATTAGTGTTTGTATCCTTGTAAGTTTTCTCCTTATTATTTGTAATTGTAAAATTGTATCATTTAAAAAAAAAGTAATTAAATGTAATTTTCCGTTTATTATTTTCTTGCTCATTTAAATACATAAAAATGATGAGCAAAAAATTGTGATTGATTAAATGTTAACCATTGTTTAAATTTCACTAGAAACAATTAAATTTTTCAAGATTTTAAGATAACATCTGTGATATTTGCTAACTTATAGATTTATTTGATCTAGAAAAAAAAGTTACTGTACGTGTAACAATTCAATGAACAACGTTAACACGGTAGTACTTATTTACACTAAAAGTGGTGCACATGATGCTCAGTGTTAACCACCCCTGCTTTAAACAATTAAACTTCCTAAAGAAAAAGAAAATAAATGCATTTTAAGAAAATCTGATGAAGTAACATATCTTTTTTTTTTTTTTTTTTTTTTTTTTGCTTGCATGCGGGTATTGAAGATATTGCTTTTATTTAAGAAAGAAAAAAAAATATTTCCATTATGAAGTTTAATTTTTTGAAGAATATAAAATTTTTGTTACAAATTGACAATAAAGCCACATTTCGTACTTCTTTTAATGTCATATCTAAAAGTTACAAGTTTTAAGCTGTGCATGTTTTTAGATTGCCATGAATAAGTAGTATATCTTCGAGGTAAATATATCTTAACTTAATATTTAGCTGCTAGAGACCAGTGTCTTTTAAAAACTTAATTGTATTTATTTTACACTTTAAAATAACTCTCCAGAAAAAGGATCAGACAACTGAATATTATTTTTTCTAAAATATGTATTTTATATTATTTTTACTGACAATTTTTTCTTGCCATCATCATTCAACTTGTGATGATAGGAAAAGCTCCTTTCGATTTAATGAAACAGATTTTTAAATTTCCAAACAACAAACGTTATCAAGATAAAAGAAAACGCCAACAATGTTTGGAAATCTAATGCAAAACATAATGAGAAGATTATAGCGATGTAGGGGAAGTTCGTACGGACCGGGTGAAGTTACTTCCGCTTAANTCGTTCTAGTTCAAAATGGTGGAGAGAGCAATTAATATTTTCATAACTGGGAATTTTTTTCGTTTTCTATATTTATTTTTAGAATAGCAATAATTATTTTTTTTCTAATATTTTGTTTATGATTGATTAGATATCATTCTAATACTAAAACATTATTGCCCGAAAAATAATGTTTATTTATTTTCTGCTTCTTAGATTCAGATCATTTTAAGCTTTGTTTACCTTGGAGGTCAATTATACTGAAAAATCAAATATACGGACTTCGGAAAGTCCCGCCGATTCCGGATACGCGACTTTCCACTGTATATCTTTTATTCAGAAATGTTTTTTTTTTAACTATTTTTTTATTTCTTATGCTTTTTTTAGGAATAAACAGTGGATCTTAACATACCCAATTTATTTTGTACTAGTATTCGTAAGCCAATACCAATCAGCTTCCAAAGAAATTCGATTATAGTACAATACAGAACCCGTTATCCGGAAATCAAAAAACCGAAAAACCGAAACGAAATTTGATACATTTTCCCGCCATTTTTTTTTTTAGAAAACTTTTTTTTCCTCCTAAGATTTTTGGATTTTTCTTTCTTTTTTGAAAGAAGTTAATCTTACCATCATTTTGGAAATAATCATTAGTGTATTACCTCATCGTTTTTTCTTCTTTTTAAGATTATTTCCAAAAAAAATTTTTTTTAATGGGTTCAACAATAAAAAAAACGGCTTTTTGTAGCGATCCAGAAAACCAGAAAAATCAGTTATCCGGAATAGCTATGGTCCTGATCGTTCGGATAATCGGTTCCCTACTGTACTACAAAAATTGCAAATTTTTGCTAGAACATGTTGATAGTTTTGTAACTTGTAAATTTTACAAACAAATAATTCAAATTCAATTTTTTTGCCTTAAATTGTTTTAGAAATTATATAGTACTATATAGAACTATGTTAGAGTGTAATATATATATATATATATATTATACTCTAACATAGAGATGCACAACCTTTTTGAGTGAAGAGCAACTTGCACAGCAAGTGGATTAATGAAGAGCCACATGCATATTTAGTCATGTTAGCAGTAAATATGATAATTTTTACGTAAACATTAGTGTTCTAAGCACTGAATTTTTTATCAGTAAACTTAATAACATATTTGCAGGAAATTAAATACTTTTAATTATTTAAATTTATTTAAAAATAAAAAGCTGAAACTTTTTTTGAAAAACTTTTTCAATATTTCACAATAATTAATTTATTTTAAAAAATGCATACATATATATTTATATATAGAGAGAGCTTACAGAATAAAAGTGGGAGAAAAAATATGCGCATTTTATTTGCGTGTTGTATAAACATCGTAGTTAAAGTAGTGGTATTGTAAAATTCGCTAAGAACAGCATCCCAATAATTGCAAAAAAGTGTTTAAATTTACAATGAAATTAGCATGAGTAAAGTGCGCCAGTGAAAAATTTTTGAACTAAGTGATTTGAAATCCGCATGTTGTACTAAAAATCAGAATTTTTAAAACTAAGGGAGAATGCATCGCAAAAAATGATTAAGCACTACTTGGATTTGCAAAGCAATCGGCATAAATTAAATACAGCAAAAAGTTATCAATTAAATGTGTGATTAACTCATATGCACAATAACACATGAGTCGTAATATCATAAGAAATTTATTGGGAATTTATAAACAACATGGAAATTAGTAGTTATAAATGCCAAAAAAACAATTTAAATGTCCCTAGGATTTCTGATAAAATTAGGAAAACACAGCACGTCAAAAAGGGATTAGTATTTAAATAATCAATTTGAAATTTGCGTATCATAATAACATCGTAATAAAAATATAATGCATTGGAATCTTAAAAACCACATGGAAATTGGTAATTATAAATGCCAAAAAATTATCGAAACGTCTCTGGGATTTATGATAACATCGGCAAAAATTACTCAGATTCGAAATTTGCATATTGCAGTGTTTTCACTACAAAGCGAGAACGCGAGAATCTCGCATATTTTTTTCTTTTCTCGCATTAAAAAATGATTAACGCGAGAAGTTCTCGCACTCTATTAATGAATTTCAAAATGAGCGAATCTCGCGAATTTTGGAAAAAATTTCGTCTTCCACTATTTTAAATGAAATACGTTTCTCAATCCTTAATCCCTTGATCTTTCCTTATTTTCAACATCGGTCATTGTTATCAAGCTTTCCTATTTACCAGTATTGTTCAGAACCAGTGCGAACAGCAGAACACAATGCCCCCCACCTCCGAAACCCTTTCAGAACACATTTCTCTTCAACCACATGTTAACCGTAGGTAAGGTTTGTTCATGTAAGACGTTTAAATTTTTTGAGCTTGAATGTAAGATGGACAAATACCTTGTTAAGGCAACATTTTCTAATCCATAACGCACAAATGAAAAGGAAACAAATGTCGGTAGGAACGGTCAAAACAAAACAAGTACGGATATTCAATGGATACGGATCAAATACTAGCAAGAAGTAAGAACATGAAAATAACTTCGCTATTCTATAGCAGAAATAATTGAAAAGCCTATGCTGGCAGGTGAAGAGGATAGGAAAGTGTGTGCACAATGCTACAAATTTGCTTAGTGGTTCCGAATAGTTCAGCATCTGTTGCATCCAAAACCGAATTAAGACAAAATATACTAACAGATTGACTGATAAGCATTTGAGCAACCTAATGAGAATAGCTGATGAAAAAGTAGATATAGAACATTTTCCATGTGATAATGCAGCAAGAATATTCAATGCTTTAAAAATTAGAAGATGTTAAAAATGAAATATTTCTTTTCCAAGTCTATTCGTGTTTTTTTCATTTTTAGAAATCTCACCTAACTTTTTGAAATCTCACCCAGTTTTTGAGAAAGGGTGAGAAATTCTCACCCAATTTTTTTCTGTAATGAAAACACTGATATTGTAATATCATATTAAAAATATTGAATCTTTTTAAACCATGTGGAATTTCTTTGCAATAACCAAAGATAAAGTAATTAAGAATCAACATAAATTTGCAATAGAATCAGTTCAAATTGCGTGCATTAAGAGTTATGAATCAAATTTGCAATTCTAAATTTTCAACATTCTTTTTTATTTTTCTGAGGAAAAAAATTTCATTTCATTCAGAAGCTCCCGCGGGCCGCAGGTTGTACACCCCTACTCAAACAATTATTTTACTAGGCTTTTTTTCCTAGCGTTGATATGGAATTGTCGCTTAATTTTATATTTTTGTTACTTATACCATATGTAAAAATAAAGAAAAAGGATCGAAGTCTTTGTGAAGTTCTGTAATAAAAAATCTATTGTCTTTTGTGTGAACTATTTTGTTTTTAATAGACCTATACATAAGAAAACTCTTTGTTTATTTACTTTGTGAGCAAGCTGCTATTAAAATGGGACTTAGATTATTATTTGCAAAAACATTTCTGGTTATAAATTAATCTGCTAATTTTGGCCATGTCTTTCAGAAGACATGTTGAATCTGTATTTAACATCTATACAAAAGGAATATGTAAAGGAAAGGGAAGAGAACATTATTTTAATTAGTAAGTTTTAAAACCAAAAAAAATTTTCCAACTAAAATATTAAAAGTATCTAGTTTATTTTAAACTTGACAAGCATTAACAAAGAAAAATTGTCTAACACTAATTTGCATACTTTTTATTAATTAAATTTAACTAACATGAAGAAAAAAAACTATTTACCATTTTAAATATAACTATCTAATGAATATTTATAAAAAAAATATCATACTTTAATTACTAATGTGTATGTATATATATATACATATATATATATAATTTACATTCTGCATTTGTATATATTTGATATTTTTATTTGGGTAATTGTTACCTAGTTTGTAAATGTTTTTTGCTTATTTCATTCTGCATATTATTTATTTCAATTGAAATGTCTATCATTATATTGTATAATATTACCTGGTTTATAAATGCACTCTTTATATTATTTCTCTTTATTTAGGTGATTGAAACAATGTCATACAATGAAAAAATTGCAAAGTTTTTATCTTTAATGGGATCTTTTTATGAAATTGTATCACCTGAAGATTGTGAAGCAGAATCTGATCAGAGTAAAAAAAAAATATTTCTACTTAGCTAAATTTGAATATTCTATTTGGCTTTTTCCTTTTTATGTGATTTAAACCTAAATAAATTAATTTTTAATTAACAAAACAAATAAATTAACAAACCAAAATAATAGAATAAATAAATATTATTTGGAAGGAAGGATTTAAATTTTGGTTGAAGTTTTCAGAAGGAAGTCCCTATTATGTAATAATTATTAATTTTTTATGTAGAATTTGTGTGTGAAAATAGGGCTTTTACTTTATATTAAATTTAAAGTCAATTTATTTTTGTAAACTTTATCTTTGTCATTTTTTTTTTCAATCTAACTGTAAGAAATGAAAAATTATATGTTATTTTAAAAATCTATCTAAAACTACTATCATTTATGAAAAATTATGCGAGACTTGATATTTTATCTTTTGATTACAGTTGGAATCTTGAAAATTACTTGAATTTCATTTTGATTTTTAAAGGCCTTTGAAAATTGTGCAAAGTTCTTGTAAATTTCGAAATGTCCTTGAGAAAAATGAAAAATTCATAAGAAATGGACCCTCAATCTCCCAATTTTTCCGTCAACTGCTTTTCCGTGTAAAACTTATCAGACAGATGTGTAAGGATGTGAGAAATCCTTCCCTGTCTTCATAACGATGAAATGAATGCTTGCTGTGCACATCCAGTGTTTCAAGTACTGCATAAATAGTATTGAAACATAATACTTGCATATTTCTCTATAGAAATAGTATATTTATCACAATTTGTGTCAAATTAGTACTCAAACGTACTTTCTTTACTGAAAAACTACTTCACAAAAAACCATTTTTTTCCTAAATGGCTCTGAACTTCATAAATAAAATGATAAGAAAAGAAAGAAATGAAAACAAAACTATCAAGATCCATTGTAAAAATAGAAAAAGTGGGTAAACCCTCTCTTTCCAATGTATTTACTAATAGTGTTAACATTATACAAATATCTACTTTTTATTTTGTTACTAATTAATATTTTTATAATTAAGCATATTTTAATTCTATGCGAAGAAAATTTATGCTATAAATATTTTATTTATAATCGTTAGGTTAGTGTTTTGTTACATTAATAAATTATAAACTTTGTTATTTAATGTATGTTTTAGTAATTTTACTTAGAATTTAAAAATATATTTCATTTTTAGAAGCAATGTATAGTCAGTGGTCTGAAGATATTATTCCATCTGCTGTTATAGAAAACTATGAATCTCGTACTATATCTGATATGTATAACATAACTAGAAGAGAAAGACAACTTGACTTCTCAACAGAGAAAGAAGTAAATATCAATGTTCAAAATACTCTTTATGGGCATGAGATTTTTTCCCCCTTTTTATTATCATTTTTCTCTTTTAATTATTTTTTGATTTTTTATTATATTTCCATGGATGTTAAAAACTAACCACACAGCTGCAGATTTTTTATCATCCTTTTTTTTTAATATGTAAAGAAAATCAATCAAATTTTCTGCACTCAAAATAGTTTTTATTTTAATCATGTGTATTCTTTTTTTTTCCCCTTTTGCAGTCTTATAGTTAACATGATAAGTTTTTAATATCATTGGTAAAAATCATACTACTGTGATAAATAATATATTTCAAATATTATTATAGCTTTTGGTGCCTAACCTTTAGTTAAATTAAAATGCAGAGCCTGACTAAGGCAGGGGCATACGGGGCAGTTGCCCTGGGGCCTCCACATCAGAGGTAGGCCCCCAAATCGAATAGAAAGTTTATTTTACATTTCCTTCTAGTCAAAATATCAGTACAGTGTAAAATCCGTCGGTTTTATGTTAGCTTCTTCATTACTCTATTGTATGAACATAAAAAATCTGTATTTTGTACATCAAAATATCAGTACAGTGTAAAATCCATCAGTTTTATGTTAGCTTCTTCATTACTCTATCGTATGAACACAAAAAATCTATATTTCGTAAATCCACGACTTTATAGGGCAAATTCAGTCAATCAAAACCTTGTATTTTTACATATTGCAAAATGCAATATGTTTACATAAATACAGGTTTCTTATTGGCTTATTTGAGCTATCGTAATTGTGAAAATTTAGTTGAATTCCTTTCTAAATGTCAGCAAGGATATGAAATTTTTGCAGCTAAATGACTAAGTTGACAATCAGAAAACTAATGAAATGGACAGAGTGTTATTTTGTATAACGATTGAAGATGGTGGGAGGATTTTATAGCTGTTTCAGGCTCTAGTCAATTTTCTTGTTATATATCTATAATGAGGTGAAAAATTTAAATACTTCCATAAAGTTCGGTTCATCATTACTAAAGTAAAGAAGCAAATGGGGGCCTCAAAAGAAGTTTTTGCCCCAGACCCCAATCAAGCTAAGTCAGGCCCTGTTAATATTGTGCATTGCAATTATGGAAAGTATTTAACTTTTTCTGATGCAGAAATCTCAGTTTGGGTCTACTTATTATAAACAATGTAACAAAATACTAGAAATGTGAAATCGTTTACTAAGCATAAATTGTGTATTCTTTATCAATATTTTTTTCAAACAATGTAGAGTTAAAGTAAATTTCTTAGTTCTACCAAAGGTAAGTATAAATAAAACCAAACATAACATTAAGTATATGTATCAAACAAAACTTTTTTAAAGACTTTGAGGTCCTGAATTCAATTACATTATTTATTTTTAAGCCCTTTCAGAGGTCTTTAAGTTAATCGCTTCCAAAAAAAACATTTTGCTTTTTATAACAGAAAGAAAAAGATTGCAGCAATCATTATGCTCTTGTAATACAATAGGATAGCATGTGCAACACTCTTTTGAGAAGTCAGGGGTTCAATGCTGGAAGACTTCATAATTGCTTATTAATTTGTTTTTGCTATATCTCTATATTAATTTTTTTGCCTAATTTTTTTCATAAAATTTTTATCATATATTTTTATCATGTTTTTCATAATTTTGTAACAGCCAATATTTTTATTGATAATAATCAAATATATCATTTAATTGCATGATGTACACTAATTAATTATTGACATTTAAATATTCTTTGCTGAAACATTTATAATAATTATTTGTTTCTAATAAAAATTAAACTTTGAGATATTATCCAAATTAAAATATGAAATTATCTGACACTTTTCTTCATAATACTATGTTATGTAAGAAATAGTTGAACAAACAAGGTAGGCAGATAAAGCTGAGATCGAGCATTTTTGATAAAACTACTACTATGTAAATATAAAATTCTAACATTTAAGAAATTTTGTACAAGGTGCTCGTTAGTAAAAAGAAATGAAAAAGAAACTTTAGAACCCAGTTTTGTCCAACTTACTCCTTACATGTATCTAGTTTGTCTACACCTTTTTAAAAAAATGCATGATTGACTGAGCATAGCTTGAATGCTGCCCATCATCCATCCAAGAAGGTTAAAAATAATAGCCGCCAAATAAAATATTTTAAATCTTTCTAAAGTTAATAAAGTAGATAACAAATCTTTCTAAAATATTTTAATCTTTCTAATTTATCTAAAAGTTCTCATAATGATATTTTCATGATTTTTCTTCTCTTAATAATACTGTATAGAACTATATTACTTTTACCACAAGCTGTTTTATTATTATTATTTAGAAATGTGCTGCATTTTTCATTTGTCATTACAGATTGAAGGCATTGGACATTTAGCTAATAAATCTAGTCTGAATCCCCAAAGTGTAAGAAGCAATGCACACCAAGTTACGAGAGAAAATTTTCAACGAAGTTACTCACAATCTTCTTTGTCATCATCAACTAATTCCAGTAGTGACGTTTCAAATTTTGATCTCCTTTCTGATTTATCAGGTAAATGTTTATTTACTTATTGTTTAAATTAATAATAATACAGTTAGAAAGTTTGATTTTCATTTCAACTTCTTTGATAAATATTTTTTTTTAAAAAGAGAAAATACCTCTATTTTACTTTTGATTATTCTTTTGCTTTTGAAGTCTNAAATCTTCTCCATTACTTTTTATCAGGTCAAAGTACATATTTTAGAGTCTTCTGTTCTTGAGGTTTTTTTTTTTTTCTTTTTTTTTCCATTTTATAGGTCATTAATAATGTTCCAATGCAAAAAAAAAAATGTTTTTAGAAAGTACCTTTACTTTTTTAAGTCTCTAAATATATATTTAAAATTTTAATTCAATATTTATACATAACTTATTATATTTTATTTTATTTATTAATTTTATTTATTTATTTTGAAATTTTTTATTTATGAAATTTCAAATAAATATTTCATTTTTAAAATTTTTTAACACCTATTTACAAATTCGTTTTTTTTTTTTAAAGTACCTGCACTTAATCTAAATTATTTTTTCTTTTGTTGTTCCTAAATATATTTGTATTTAGAAATTTTTTTTTTCTTCTGAAAATTTTTAGATGTTGAATCACAGGTTGTGACTGAAAGAGATAACGTTCATTTACTTCAAAGTAGGCAAAATTCCCAGGTGTCTCATTGTCCAACTCATAGTGATATTTTTATTCTCACTTTTATCAATTTACAAAGTTCTATGAATGATATTTTGGAAAAGATGGAAAGCCTAAACACTTTAGCTAATGAGGAAAACCAAGACAAGTGTCAATATGTGAGTAACATTATTTCCTTTTAACATATAACAAAGTTATAATAACAATGTCGCTTCCAAATGTTAATGCTGATCTTTTTTAAATATTGTTCACCTTTCACCATGTAAAATATTTTGTATACAATCTACATCAGGGTGCATAGCGTTTGTAAAAATTAAATGTGCTTATTTTTGATTTACGATTTTTAAAAGCCCTTAAGGGTGATTTTTTTATTTGGGATTTGTAAAAAGTGCTTAATTTTCTGTCTTTTAAAAAGAGATTTTTTCTTTGCTGTGTCAATTGTCGTTCTAAATTACAAAAAATGCATGATTTTCACAATTTTCTCTGCGATATTTATCAGAAACTAGTTATTTTTTCATGATTATGTAAAGTTTTTTGAAATGTTTTTGAATTTTATTGATTTTATGTTTATAAATTAAGAACTTTAAATGATAGGGAAAAAATTTTATTACTGCACAGATCCTATTTATGATTTTTATTTGGAAAGTGATTAAATATATTTTTTGAGTACTTAAAAAGTACTTGAAAAAACTGGCTATGCACCCTGTATATGTATTTGCAGCGCAAGAGGTTTTACTTCCACCATTTTGGTGTGTTGTCATTTTGGTTCATTACTTCTCTTGCCATTGCTATTTTTATTTTTTAGATATTGATATTTTAAAAAAATAGAAAAAAATATGCAAAACATTCAGGGTTTAAAAAAACTGAACCCGGGTGGGTTTTGTCTGGATTTTATTGGGGTTTTTTAAGATATTACCTAGTAACACTTTTTAGATTTAATTTTTAATTTAACAGAGAACTATTTTAATAAAAAGAAACCTTTTACAGGAAATAATAATTAAGTTATGAATTAAAATAAAAAAAGTTTTAATTTTAATGTAGTACCATCTTTTCATGACATGTATTAAGAAGACTCTTAAATTAATTCTTTCCTTGAGTAAAAATAAATCATAATTATTGGGATCAGTGAAATATGCTGTTTTCTGTTTTATTTATTTATTATTAAACATTCATAAATTAATAGCTTCATAGTTATAAAGTAAGCCTTTTGTAAGCCAACTAACTACAGAACTCTTGTTTATTTAACAATTTTCCTAGTAGTTTTAGGAATTACTCTTTAAACTATGTATAGTTAGTTTTGATTTGAAAATTCTAGAATAAATATATTTAAGATAAATATGAAGTCCCTTAAATCTATTTCTCTTTTATCTTATTTTTTATTTATCTATTTTGATTATATTAATAAAAAAAACCCATTTGAGCCCTTGTTTCATTGGTTTGTGGGTAGGTCAAAAACACTGAAAACATTCCTTGTAATTTTCCTTATTTCTATTTTATTAACTTTTGGCTGCTTAGCCTCTTGACATATAGCCTTTTTTCAAACACTTTCTTCTATTTAAGATAGGAATTATTTAAAAAGATTTTCCTGATTATATCCATTGGAGGTTGTTTTCACAAAAGCTCTTATTTATTTATCAAACTTTACAATCATAACACAGTATGACATAATGATTAAAATAATTACATAATATATCATGGAATATAAAAAAGGATAGTTTTCATTGAAACTTAAAGTAATTCATTAGGACATTATGGCCAATCCCTCGTAAATATTCTTAATAATTTGGATGCTTAATTCCACAGTTAATAATTTTTAAATACTTTATAACCATTTAAAAATTTTGATTTCTTTAACTGAAAATAATAAATAATTTATAAACTAAAAAAAATTATATTTAAGGCCATTAAAACATAGCCATTCTAATAAAAAAAAAAGTAAGAAATAAGATGAAATGTCTATATCAAGGAACCGAACTGAAATGGCCGGACCAAAATGTCACTGTATTGATTTTATAACAGTGAAGCACAATCTTTTCAAATTGTAGACCACAAAAGTAAAAAATATTATACAATGTTTAAAACTTAATACTCATTAAACTATCATTCAATTTATGGCTATCATGTGAAGTAAAAGTTTGTTCATGGTTTAAAATAAATTTATGCTTTTCTTTTCTGCCTCGCACAATCTCATGTTTATGAATTAGAAAAGAATGCTGTACCTTGAATTGAATTATCTTGAACTAAAGTAAATATTTATGGTCTTTAGTGGTGAATTTCGATATTCAGTATATTAACCCACTGACGGTTCTGCACGTAAAAAGTCGCATTTTAACCTGCAGACTTCTCTGCATAGCAAAACCGGTTTTCCCATGTTAACTGATAGGGAAACTGTGTGTAGGGGAGAAACATTCTCTCAATTTTGCCCATTTCCATAACCGCCAGTGGGTTAAGTTGATTTTTGTAGCAATGGAGGTTGACCAAGTATATTTCTCGTTAGCTCTTCTTGCAGAGTAATCTTTTCTCAATCAGTTTGATTTGAAAATAAACTCCTATATAACTTACATTTGAAAACAGAATATAAGTTAAAGTTAGGTAAATATTAAAATTTCATTATCTTAAAACTAAAAATCAATCTTTCCAATATATATATATATATATACACACACACAGTCAAACCTCGATATCTCGAACTTGAAGGGAGAGGGGAAAAAATTCGAGATACTGTAAATTCGAATTATCGAAAATCGCATGTTATCAATGGTAGAATAAAGAAAAATGCTCTTTAAATACCTTATATACCAGGGATGGCGAACCAATGGCACGCGTGCCATATATGGCATGTGACACAATATTTTGGGCACTCCACCGATCACAATTGTTGTTACACTATGAATTGTTATTACACAAATGTTATTACGCTACGAAGCATATGTAACAATTAAATTAAAATTCACAAAAAACAGACAAAATAATAAACAATTATTAATAAAAAAATTAAAAATGAATACTAAAAAAGCAATTAATGACCGTAAAAAACAAGCTAACAATAAATAACTAGCAAAAAAAATCCACAGTCTTGCTTAAACTAACATCTTACTACCTAATATAAGTTATTGGTCATCTAATCTGCAACAACAGAAATCACACTGATGTTACTTTAAGTTGATTTGCGCGTATAACTGAGACATGTATACAAAATGTTTTTTTTTTCAATGTAAATAAAGAGTTTTGAGTTGATAGTATTTAGTATTATTATTTTCCCAATAATCACGAAGTTAAAATTATTTGACGGCACGTCTATGACCTCATTAAGCAATATTTCAGAGAAAATGGCACGTTGGTGTGTAAAGGTTCGCCACCCCTGTTATATACTATTTCCATATTTATTCTAAAACCACTTTTTACACTTAAAAAGATTCAATTGTTGTTTGCTTTAGAGATAAAAAAAGTTTGTCTATAACACTTTCTAAGTGGACTATAGCTTTAAATGTCTCCTCTGACATATTCAGCTGCCTCTTAATAAATCTCCTTACAGTATCCACTTCTGAAAGTGTTTGTTTGAGAATTGATTATGATTATGAGAATTGGCTTTCTATTCTAAAATTATTATTATTATTTTTTTTTAATATTTTTTATTTTCTGAAAACAAATCTACACTATTTAAGGAAAAAAAATTCAAGTTATCGAGGGATTAGAAGGAAAAATTCCAGAAATCAATGTTTTTTTTAACATTGAGTGTATAGGAAATTTGAAGGGATTTTTTTTTCTTTGAGATATTAAAAAATTCATGAAATCGAGGTTCGAGTTAGTGAGGTTCGACTGTATATATATATATATTGTTTTAGACTTTACAAAATTAAAAAAAGTTTTGTGCTTATTATTCAATGAACCAATCTAAATATAGTATCTTGGAATGGTTTAAGGTGTGTGCAACATGTCCAGTTAGCATAAACATATTTCCCTGTGAACTTTACCATTCTCAACATGTAAAAATTTTAGTGCACTTAGCAATGCTGGAAATTTATACCATTAAAATTTTATTTAGCTATATGTTTATGATTAATTGCATTTATTTTAACTTACGCAAGCTAACTTGATAATTAAGTTTTACTTGTGTAAGTATTAAAATTTACTTAACTAACCATTAACTTGCTAATTAATTAAATTTAAATACTTAATAAAAGAACTAAAAATGATATAAAAGGAGTAACAAGTTCAGGATTTTATTTCTTGTTGTACGGTGTGCAAAAAAAAAAAAAAATCACACTGAATAATTTTTGATCTTATCACATGCTAGGACTCCAACTTAATAGTTCTAGGGGAGTGGCCTCAAATATAATAATAGAACTGAGAATATTTTAAGTTATGTATCATATACACACAAAAACGTACTTGCAATGAATAAACATGCATTTTTTATTGATTTAGATTTCTGATCCTCATACAACAAATCAGTAAAATAGGGTCCTAATATTTTGGTCAGAAGACCTCTTAATATTAATATCTCAATCTAATGTCAATGTTTCATTAGACTTCTTAATGTTAATTTTACTTTTTACATGTTTCCCATACTATCCCATATTATTAATTTTTTAATGAATCAAATAAATTTTTAAATACCATTATAAAAAACTTTTATTTCATAACAGTAAAAAAAAATTGGAATTATTAGGTATATAAAATTTTACATTTACACAATTGAATTTTATCAGGCAAAATACAAAATTGTACGAATACTTTCTGGTCAAATATTTCCTTCTGGTGAAATCGGGACCATATGTCCTGGATTGCAGCTGCCCCTTATATTTTGAGGGTCAGAAATCCAAATCCGACAAAAAAGGGTATTTTTATTCAGAGAATGTACATTTTCATGTCTGATTTCGTAACTTAAAATATTGTCTGCACTAATAAGTTTGCATATTTGAGGTAACTCCCTTAAACCATTAAGATTGAGTCTCAGTTTGTTAAAATCCAAACATTATATCAAAAGTTATTCAAGGTTTTTTTTTTTTTTTTTTTTTTTNTTTTTTGCCACACTGTACATTAATTTTCAAGTTCCTATTTTCCTTATTTAAAAAAAAAACTAAATAACAGTAGAAAAAATAATATATTTCCCACAAAATTTTTAAATTATTTCTTTCTGCTTAAAAAAAATTATAATTGGTCTTAAGTAAAACTCTGTTGCCTAAATGTAGGATTAAGTAACAAAAAAAGTATTGCTATTTCTTATATTGTAAATTAGGTTTATTATATTATGTTAAATTTAAAGTGAGCAATTCTTCTTGTATAATGGTACAAAAAAATTTCTTTTTTTCGGAATTACTGCAGAAAAAGTATTTTTTCTAAATTCTGCTCAATTTTTCAAAACATTGTTGCCTAATCTTTTATACTCTATTGCAGGGGTGGCGAACCTTTATACAACAACGTGCCATTTTTCCTAAAAAAATGTTTAATTAGGTCATAGACGTGCCGTCAAATAATTTTGACTTCGTGATTATTGGGAAAATAATAATACTAAATACTATCAACTCAAAACTCTTTATTTATATTGAAAAAAAAACATTTTGCTGTGTCTTAGTTATATGCGTAATTCAGCTTAAAGTAACATCAGTGTGACTTCTGTTGTTGCAGATCAGATGACAAATAACTTATATTTAGGTTGTAAGATGTTAGTTTAAGCAGGACTGTTAATTTTTTTTTGCTAGTTATTCATTGTAAGCTTGTTTTTTATGGTTATTAATTGCTTTTTTAGCATGAATTGTTAATTTTTTTATTAATAATTGTTTATTATTTTTTGTGTTTCTTATGAATTTTAATTTAATNAAATAATTTTCTTTATTTCGGAATCACTGCAGAAAAAGTATTTTTTCTAAATTCTGCTCTATTTTTCAAAACATTGTTGCCTAATCTTTTATACTCTATTGGCTTTTTATAATGCTTTGAGTTTATAAGGTTTTGCTGTAATTAGTGCATCAGACATGCATAAATTTTTCATTTTACCATGCAAAGATGTCATTTGATAACAGTTATTGAAAATTGCACTTGTAAAACTTTAATTGTTTGGATTATATTTAGAACCAAAATCAATTTGTATAATTATCTAATTCATGAGTAATTGTTATTACCTAGAAAGAATTTTATGTACTTTTTTTATAGTGTAGTATTGAACTACTTCAAAAAACTTTTATTTAAAATAGTGCAATGCTAATTTCTCATTGTTTTAATATAAGTATGGGATTCCTTATGTTTTTATTGAAATCCTATAAACATACATTTTACACTATTTCATTTTACCCAAATCTTCCAGAATATATAGAACTAGTGGGCTGCACCTCCTTCTCGCTAACGCTCGTCAACCCCCGAAAATTGCTATGCAATCTTGTATGGTTTGCTTCACAAACCAAGCTCGCTTCGCTCGCTACTAACTTATGTACATTGCAAATGCTCAAAATTCTAAGAATTCAAAACAATCATTCAAATCCATATAACAACTTATTTTTGTTTAAAAAAATTACATCTTTTTAGTAAATACTAAGTCATTAAAATAAATTTGAATTCAAATAAACGACATGTAATTCGTTAAACCTATTAGAAATGTGTTATAGTATAAAATCTTAAGATAAAATTTCTAAAACTGATATCTCTTTAAAAAGGTTAAAATTTTGGCTATAATTAAGTCTATTAAAAATTTAAATAAGAGAATTGCAATGGAAAAACCTGCATAAACAAATAAATTCTAGTAAAACAAATAAATTCGTGATATAAATCAAAAATCGTCAAATAAATTCGTAATATATAAATTCGTGAAAAAAAGCGCTTTCGACAAAATACTAAAATAGAGATCTATCGACAAAGACTACTCACTTATGCTTATCACAAAACTTATGCTCTCCCTGGTTATTTCAGTTTCCGTTTTTAAAAGAGCTATATGTTGAGCCATCTCAGCTAGATTTGGCATGTGACATTTTTAGCGGCAATCATTGGTCGATTTTCTAGCGTTGCCATTCAGGGAGTTGTAATGAGGTTTTTTTGTCGCCGTGTAAGAGAAATATATATATAGATGAGATGATTGAAGTTCTGATTTACATAAAATGTGCTTAAAGTACTGTTTTTATTTTAATGGCAGTCATTGGTCGATTTTCTAGCGTTGCCATTCAGGGAGTTGTAATGAGGCTTTTTTTTGTTGCCGTGTAAGAGAAATATATATATAGATGATTGAAGTTCTGATTTACATAAAATATGCTTAAAGTACTGTTACTATTTTAATGAGTTTTATTTTAATTTCAGAATTCAAACTTTGAAAATGAGTCTGATTTTAGCTTGAATTGGACTGGCACTGTATTTGCTCTTTTGTGGCCTGTGGTTGTGGAAGTAATCTTAGGTTAAAATTTTATTTATTAGTTATATTTGTAAATAACAAAAAAAATCACTTTTTAATAGTTATATGTGCCATGTTGTAAAATTTACTTTTAAAGATTGTTGTAAATGTAAATAAAAGCACAATTTGTTTATTTTAAATTATTAGACAGTTTTGTTTGTGCAGTAAATATTAAAAAGAAAAGACAACAGAAATAAAATAAAAAATTTACAATCAATTTTTTCTACTTTTAACTCTAATTTAAATACTTTTTCTGAACTTCTAAATTTATTTTATAAGGAAAATATAATTTTTTTATTCAATTTATTTTCTATACCTGAAGATTTATTCTTTGAGTCCATTTATCAAAAGAAATATATATATTTAACACGTTCATTGCCAAGCTAAAAATTAAAATTTCGTTTCCTGCTCCTTGAAAGTTAATCCCTTCCCTAGTAACCAACGGGCTAGTTAATTATGCAATAATGATTAAAATGTTTTATATGTATATATATATTTGTGTGTGTTTCTCAAGAAAACTAAGCATTTAAAAATTTTTCTGTAAACTTCAAAACAAACTGAGTCATTATCAAATTTTAAAAAATCCTAATATTTTAATTTAATATTGCTCTAAATCTTAAAAGTAAAAAATAATGTTACAGAAAATATTTCTGAGTAAAAACAAATTTATTTACAAAATAAAATCATGACAAATATGTGNTATATATATTTGTTTCTCAAGAAAACTATGCATTTAAAAAAATTTCAGTAAACTTCAAAACAAACTTAGTCATTATCAAATTTCAAAAAATCCTAATATTTTAATTTAGTATTGCTCTAAATCTTAAAAGTAAAAAATGTTACAGAAAATATTTCTGAGTAAAAACAAATTTATTTACAAAATAAAATCATGACAAATATGTGAAAAAGAGGTAGTCTGATTTAAATATCATCTACCTGTTTTAGTATTATTCCACTTTCTTAGTGGAATGTAATTTGAAAGATATAGTTTTTATGCAACCTTTCAACCATCCACAAAATGAAATTATGTAAACTGTTCTCACAAAAACTGCAGCCACAATCTGGTAAATATATGGGATAGGTATAAGCTGTGTTATTGGAAATATGAAATAGTCTAGTGCCAAGAAAGCTGTACAACGAACAAGCTCTATCCATGGTGCATGTGATCTGAAAAACACAAATTTTAATTAAATTTCTTACCATATGACATTAAAAAAGTTTTTTTAGGTACAGGGTGCTTTTTGCCTACTAAAGTTTGTATCATCCTCTCAACTTTTGAACAACTTTCTCTACAGTTTAAGAAAATGTGAGTAACTGTAGTAAAATAAAACTTAGCATTATAGAGCCTACTATTAGAATACTGCCGATTTAGTATTCTTATCCCAAAAGCAAGTATAAAATGAGGGGAAAACGAATTACAAAGTTGTTGATTTAGTACTGACAAACACCTTGTAAACATATGCATTGCACATTTTTTTTATTTGTAATTTCCTACACTTTCCAACAAAAAAAAAAGAAAAACAAAAATCTTTTACCACAAGATAACTTTATTTTCAATGTACAAACTTCTTATAAGTTAAAATATATAAAAGTCAAAGGTTTCTTTGATATTAGTTTGTTTTTGTTTTTTCTCTAATATCTTTCCATTAAATCTCAATGTAGAAAATCGCAAACAAACGATTGTGCATTTTAAACGCTCATTTCTCATTATTAATGTTCGGTAGGTGTCAATTTGTACTAAAAAATTACTACTCTTAAATTTTAATTCCTTTAACATTTTCTCTTACTACTCACTCAGCAGTTTTGTATGCTCAGTAGCTGTATGTGATATCATCTTGAAGCATGTACACACTACTTTTGCAACTGTAGGTGAAGCTATTAGTAAGTGAATATCTTAAGTCATGGATAAAATATTATCATTTTTAAAAACATATACATACCTAGCATCACTTAACATTCCTAAATTAGACAGAGAAAATATTTCAAAAACTATCACACCCACAACTACTGAAGTTGGCAAATCCTGTTGAGAGAAAAATAAAACAAAGATTACTTTCTGCAATTGAAACTAAGACTTATAGCTTGATAGTTGTATATGGAAACTAAATCCCCCACACCAAAATAATTTTATGACAAAATGTCTGTAATAAAAAAAGAATGTACATATGAAAACAGGGTTCATGATTTTTTTGATTTTTTTAAAAAATATCAAAGGAATCAGATTTTATTTTTTATTTTGTTTAAATACAATGTAAGAACTTTAATTTATGATTAAAAAAACTTTATAAATGCTTAAACAAAATTAAAATAATAATAAAACTTTATTATAACAATATTTTAGAAACTTAAACTTACTAAAATAATTTTTATTACAGTACATAGCTTTGAATGCATAGCAACCATTTTGAAACAAATGCATGATAAATTTAAACAAAATGAAATTGAGAATTTAAAGAATCCTAAAACAAGGTTTCAACTAACAAACCATAATTTTAAATTAAAATTGTGATTTACTTTTTTTTCCCCTCTTGATTTTTAAAATGACAAAATCAATGTTCAGATTGTGTTTATAAATGTAGTCATTCATCAAAAAATAAATAAAAATTTTATCTTTATATTTTTATATTAAAATATTCATTTTTAATCCTATATCAAAATATATAAGTTAAGCTAAAAAAAAAAAATTTTTAAAATCATGTACTCATTGGAATTTTTTTTCACAAAATTTCTTTATAGAAAATTTGATGATGTAAAAGATACTGTGAACATATTATGCGGAGAGAGAAAAGCAGTTAATAACCCTACTGCTTCAAATAGACTTTGAAAGAGTTAGAAAGGGAAGAATGACATTATATCAGGAAAAAAATATCTGAATTCACCAGCCTTTTTTTTCTTCTATTTTTTGCATTTTAGGGTAATTTCTTTTTAATATAACCTCCAGCTTTAGAAATATACATTTTCCACCAATAAAATATAATGTAAATTTTAATTTTTAAATCAAAAGGTAGAATTTTAATTAACATTTGCATTTTTTTAAAAAAAATTCATGTTTATTAATTATTTTCTACGACTATGCAAGTTTATATTATGACAGCATTAAATGTTAACTTTAATCTGTACTTTCAATCTCAAGAATCAAAAATATTTTAAAAAATGTTATTTCAAATGTGTTGGAAACCCCAGAAAGAAAGAAATTCCGTTAACTGAAATTAATTAATGCAACAATGTATTTAAAATAAATTTTAAAACGAAGAAAAGAAAATAATAAAAGTATCAATTATTTAAAAGACTGTTTTTTAACTTTTAAAATCAATATATACATTAAAAAAATCAATTGATTTAAATCAATGATTTTTTTTAAAAAATCAATTGATTTAAATCAACAAACCCTGCTTTAAAATATCTTTCAAATCAAAAATTAAATGGACTTATTAATGTGTTTTACACTTCACGTTTAAATACTTTAAAATAGAGGATGATTAATGATTGCTTCCCTTTTCTCATTTCTCTAATCAGCTATTGCATCATGATTATGATATTTCTCTTGTAATGGCTGATTATGATATAATCAGCTATTGCCTGACTTATGATTATTATAAAAATGATGCTAACTGATTTCAGATATTTTTGCAAAAAAGTTATCAAATAATTGCATGAGATACTATTGATGATGTTTGAGATATTATAATTAAAATTAAATGTTATTATTTATTTTAAGTTATGAACATCTTTTGAGTAAATCCATAAATTTAATTAAAGTTATATTTTTAGGTTTTCAAAAACATTTTTATGCACTTAATTACTTATAAATATAATTTAGTTTTTAAAAAGCGATTTTGTATATATTTTTATTTTTTTAAAAATAAAACTTTTGTATTAAAAAATTCTGTATAGGAAGAAAAAGTTCAGTAACAGATCTATATGCAAAATGTTAGCTACTCAATTGTGTTAGTTTTACAATGTAATTAAAATGCGATTAACTTATAGTTTTTATATTACCTGATGCATATGTGATACTGCAACATAACCCAGATTTAGAATTACAAAATGTAGAACAAGATACAATTTACACCACATAGGAATTTGTGGATCATACTTCTCCATTGGTGCTTTTACCTTCAAATTAACAATATTAAAGAAAAAATTAATTCAAATATACATGTCTGAATAATCTCTTAAAAGATATGAAATAAAAATATTGAACACTATATTTATCTTACATATTCTTTATCCACCATGAAAAGTTTTAAGAAAATAAAAAGTGTTTGTAGTAGTATTTCTTAATATTTAAAAACTTACTCTGATGCTGTACCATAAAATCAGAGCTGCATCACGCTAGGCTCATAAAAATTTGAAGAGATTAAGAATAAGGCATTGTATTTGATAATTTTCATCTAGGTAGGAAAATGTCGCCAAATTGGCAATTTTTAAAAAGTTTAATAACATTTATTATATTTTAGTTATCTGTTCGCTCTATCTTTAGTTATCTGTTCTTTTTGGTGGATAATTCTTAAGAACAAAATTGCATATTGAGTTTAAAATTATAACTTCAAGTACAAGGTACCTAAACAGTGGTTTTTTATTTTCCTTGGCGAAAACGCTTCAAAAAATCATAGTAAAAGAACTATTTTTAAATCAATTAATCAACAAATTATTGCCAATGAAGCGAAAAATACTTATAAAACATCTACTCTTCAAATGTTAGCTCACGCTGTCTCTGAATCGCTTCTCGATAAAATATATAAATCATATCTAAATAAAAACTTCATGTCCGTTTCTTCCAAATTGAGATTGCTAAAATTTTTATTTCGTGAATATAAGCCTAAATATGTTTATATTTATTTTAACTTTTAAACAAAATTACATTAATTAAAAAAACATTAAAAATCTTCCGTGAAAACAAGCAGATGCTACGCACAAAAATCCTTTTAAAAAAAAGAGTTAAGATCAAATAACCCAACCCTTTTCCAAAAACATTTTTTATGAGTTATGTCTTCAAAGTTATGTTAAAAACAAAGATTGAACAAAATAAAAAAAAACAAGTAACGTTTAAAGTTTAAAGCTAATTTAATATTTGTGAAAATGTGACTTAATTGCTTCTTCCAATTAGCTTTTCAGTTGTAAATAAAATAAAAAGAATTATTATATAGATTTTAGAAAACCATTATGTTACATTTCATTTATTCATATATATATATACATATAATTTTTAACTCTAAAACTAAAAAAATGTACATTTACATTAAAATTTATATTTCTCTCGTCAAGCACTCAAGAAAAGAAACTTTAGGCCCATCGTGGGCCTAAGGTTTCTGAGTATCTAAATATTTTTCAATTTAATTAAGAACTTTCGTAAATATGTAATCACAGTGATTTTTTTTTTTTTTTACTAGAACGTTTGATTGAAAATATTAAAGCGTACCCTAATGGTTAACACAGGGATGAGATTTTTCCGCTTTTTAGCGGATTTCCGCTTTTTTTACTTTTATCTCTTAAATTTCAGCTTTTTTTTTTATCAAAAATTCAGATTTTCTAAAAATTTCACCTTTTTTTTTTCATAAGTATTTCGCTTTTTCAGAAAATTCACCGATTTTCAAAGAGAAACAGAAAATTCAAACTACATAGCTACCAATCCTTTCTCGTTTTTGCCTATTTTAGCTATTCCCCCCCCCCCCTTTTACTCGCAGCAGATAAGATTTTCCGAATTTTTTACCCGCACTCCAGATAGATCCGATTTTCGTAGTTCAAACGACGCTGCTTCTGACAAGCCTTTTAGAGGTCCCAAGCCTGGAATCCGCTAATATCTCGATTCTTATTCACACGATTTTAATATCAAACATAGCTTTTCATATTTACGTGTTGCGATTCTTATTCTCGCGATTTGAATATTGTACGTTGCGATTCTTATTTACGAGATTAAAAAATACGATATTGTGATTCGTATTTACGCCTTTTTAAACCCCTATGTAGCGATTCGTATTCACGCAAGTTTAAAATTCAATGTCTTGATTTGCTCATGCGGTTTATAATATCAAACATTGATTTTCGTATTTATATAAAATCGATTCGTATTTATTTCGATTTTAAAATAAGGCATTGGGATTCGCATTCACGCATTCTAAAAATTATGCATCATAATTCTTATTTATGCAATCTAAAAATTAAGCATCATGATTCGTATTTAAGTGATCTAAAAATTATGAATCATGATTTGTATTGACGCATTTTAAAAATTCTATATCCCAGTTTGTATTTTCTCATTTTCAAAATCGTATATCTAGTTTATATAACCAGGGTTTNTACTACAGAAAGTGTTTGTTTGAGAATTGATAATGAGAATTGGCTTCCTATTCTTAAAAAAAAAAAAATTAATATTTTTTTTATTTTCAGAAAACAGATCTACACGATTTATGGAAAAAAAATTAAAGTTATCGAGGGATTAGAAAAAAAAAATTCGAGAAATCAAGGTTTTTTTAACATTGAGTGTATAGGAAATTTGAAGGGAATTTTTTTCTTCTTTGAGATATCGAAAAATTCGTGAAGTCGAGGTTTGACTGTATATATAATTTTTAACTCTAAAACTAAAAAAATTTACATTTACATTAAAATTTATATTTCTCTCGTCAAACACTCAAGAAAAGAAACTTTAGGCCCATCGTGGGCTTAAGGTTTCTGAGTATCTAAATATTTTTCAATTTAATTAAAAACTTTCGTAAATATGTAACCACAGTGAATTTTTTTTTACTGAAAAGTTTGAATGAAAATATTAAAGCGTACCCTAATGGTTAACACAAAATCAGGCTCATTATAAACAAAGGTATGCATAAAAACATATTATTAATTACATAAACATCTTTCACATTTTTAATCAGTTTTTAGAAACTAACTTTCAAGATTATGAAAAAAACCAAGAATGATGATTCTTCTTAAATGATTCGTGAAATCATTTTACCTAAATTAGTCTGAATAGCTTAAATATTATCAAAATATAATTACACTCTTACATCAGGTATATCTTCTATTTGTCCATGCCAAGGTAGTCCGGGTGCCCATCCAGGACCTTTGAATATGACAGAGAGCTTGTTCCGGAAACCTTCAGTAATCCAGAAAGTTCTCCATATATGAAGAAAATGACACAACTATAAATATAGCATAGAGTTAAAGTATCTTGTGATGAGATATCAAGCTAAAAAAATTATTTTTAATTATAATAATTAAAAAATTACTTTCTTCAAAGAAGTATTTTGATATGCATATTATGAACATTTATTTTGAATTAATTAGTTGAAAAAATATGAACACTGTTAAAATATATTGGATGTTGCATCTTTATATTAAGATTGTAGCAACATTGCTGCAACGTTAAAAAAGTGCCAAAGTTGAACTATGTTTGAAAATTCGTATTTTAAACTTAATTACACAATTCTTTTACTGAAATGTGGTTCAAATTAGCACGTTATTATGATTACAACTAAAATGCTCAAAAGCATTATTCTAAATGCCTTTATTATGTTACTTGATTAAAAACTAATCTGCTTCGAAAAATTGGAAATAACACTACTCAACATGTTTCGGACGCTCAAAAATAAGTGGCTGTTTCAAAGGCTTCTCAGACTGGAATAAAAAAAAAACAAAAGTGATTCGAAATAAAATAAAAAAACATAAAGTTTCTAACAGAAAATGGAAAAAATAAAGGTGTGAAACAAAACTAGAAAAAACCACAGTAGCTGAGAGAGAAAGAAAATAAAAAAGAAGAAGAACTGCAGTGGGCATTCCATGCTCAATGGAGAGTTGGTGAGTAACTAATCTCGCTAACAGGGCCGTAACTACGCCGGGGCAGCAGGGGCACCGCCCCGGGGCCCCGACGGTCAAGGGGGCCCCATATGAAGTGTTAAGATAGAGTTGATGAAAATTTTCTTTTTGTAATTGCGTACCTACTATAACATAAAGGGAAGGGTAAAAAACTGTAAACCACCTTTTCGCGAATTATTTCCCTTTCTCAAAAGAACAAACACATTTTGCAGAGAAGGGGAAAGACCACAGCTGGTTGATTGTTAACACTTTCTGTATATTGCACTTCTGGTTTACTTAGTTGCTTCCTCTACTATCTAGCGTCAGATCCAGTGGCGTGCCAACCAGGAGGAGGCATAGGGCCCCTCTAAAATTTAAGTGATGGGCAAACGATGCGTTTCGCCCCTCCTGAAATTTAGACACTTACGAAAATAAAGTAAAATCGGTAATTTTGAAAAAAAAAAATTTCAATTTTGAAGCTATTTTTGAAGTAGAAAACTTTATATATTCCTCTAACATTTATGTGCTTTGCCTCTTCTGATATTTAGTAATTCGCCAAGACGAAGTCTAGTAAAATAGGTAATTTTAGAGAAAAAAAAAAGCTATTCTTCCTCAGTTTGGAAGATATACAATATTACTACAATAAACTAAAAAATAATTTTCATTTTTATAATGGTTTTGTCTTGAAAAGACCTTCCTTACGATATAGTAACCGGATTCAACAAGTTTATAAAATTGGTATTTTGTGATTAGCATTATATTTAGAGGAAAAGGAGGCTACTGTGGACATGGGGGACAAAAGTAGACAACATGAACAGCTTTTCCCCCCCCCCTAGTCATATTTCCTCTGTGAGATGTTATAAATTGGTACCTTTTACATACAGTGAACCAAAAATGTACCACCCTGAATAACTTTTGATTTAATGATTGGATCTTCACGTTCTAGGACTCCATCTTAATAATTCGAGGGTATGACTTCAAATATGCAAATTAATTAGCGCACGATATTTTATTTTAAGTTACGCAATCAGACACTAAAACATACTTTCTCTGAATAAACATAACTTTTGTTCAACAATTTCGATTTTCTAACCCCCGTAATATAGGAGGTAGCTTTAATCTGGGAAATATGGTCCCAATAGTTGCGTCGGGTGAGCTATCCAAAGTTTGAACCCCCAAATGTTAATATTTTTTTTTTTGTATTTCACTACAGATCGAGAGCTTTTTAAGGGAATCGAAAAATTTTTGCACACGATTCTGATGTTGTTGATCATTTACGTCGCACTAGTGCTGCACAATAAGCTATTGGCGACGGTCTGGGAAACATCCCTTGAGGTGTGATCCTCTGCAGAGGGGATGGCACCCCCGCTTCGGTAGCCCGGCGACCTGCACGCTATGTCGAACACTTTATGGTAGACCAGTTTAACGAGGACCAAAACCGCACACCCTCGGTCCCTACGCAGACTGATCCAAGTGATCACCACCTGCACACTGACCGCAGCCAGGGATGCTTGACTTCGATGATCTGCTGGGAAGTGTGTCTTAACGATCACTCCACTTCGGGATAATAATAATTTGAAAACTTTTGAATCATAAGGCATATAATTTTTTTTCCGTATCATTTTAAAGTATATAATTTCACTTGGAAAATACAAATTTGAGCGCAATTGGTTGATTAGTTCCTGAGAAATCGAGTCTTATAAGTACGACTTTTTTAAAATTTAATTTCTCAGGATTAATCGATTTCGCTGAAATTTTGTATTTTGCCATGTGGAAAACTTACACTGTTTTGTAATCCAATTTATATGAGAACAAATAACTTGTTTTCATAAATATATTCGATAACATAATACATAAGTAGCTAAAATGACGGTTAGATATGGAGTACGGAAAGTTTTTGAAATAGCCCCCTCCAAAAATTTTTGCCCCAGAGCCCCGAGGGGTGAAGTTACGGCACTGCTCGCTAACAAGGGGATCGGCATCAAAATGAACTGAGGTGGAAATCATTTTGGTATTGTCAAAATTGAATTTATTCCCAAGATAGATTATTTAATACCTTTATTATGGTCAAATATTGCACCTATTTAGAGTATAGGAACAACAACTATTTCCTACCTGTATATAGATCGGTTCAAATGTATTTATGGGATGCGTTAATCCATAGACCACTTTCTCTCCTTCAGGTTCAAATGTTCCAAACATTCGATCCCATATTATAAGAGTACCACCATAGTTTTTGTCGATGCAGTATCTGTTTCTTCCTAAGGAACATGATTTATCAGTCAGAAAGAAATTACATTTAAAATTTATTTTTGCAAATGTTTAATTTTCTTACCATGGTGTACTCTGTGGTGACTTGCAGTATTGAATATATATTCTAAAGGACCTAAGGAATTTATAGTCTATAAGAAAAAGAAAAAAATTAGCTGATGAATTATAACAGATTCAGTTTAACACTGAAGGGACACTTGTGTCTATTTCCTTTCTGACTCTCTAATTACAAGCAAAAATATAATTTGGTATTTTTTTATTATAATAAAAAACAGTTACTAAAAAAATTCTGTCAAATTATCGGAATTATATTTGTACCAAAATATAATATCGGAAAAAAGTAGTTCGAAAAAATACATTTGTTCATGCACATTCAAAAATTTATCAATAATTGATTTGATAAATTAAAGAAATTTCAATGATGAATAATTGTTTCTCTTAGATCTAAATAAGTGTGAATTTAAAAAAAATTTTGTTTGGAAGTGAGTCTCGTTTAGAAGATTTTGCCTATGACGCAGAAAAAGACAACAGTGTTACACGCTGTATTTCATAAAAATATATTATTAAAATGCTACGTATAATATTTTTCACTTATTTTGACCTAAATTAATACAAAATAGTGATGTAAAATATGTTTAACCCACGATCCGTCTACCACTGAGAATATTTTGCGTCAGCACTGTGCTTTGGGGTCGGTGCCAGCCTGGTGTGGAATTCGTATCAACCAGCCATCTCTGGAATTCGAATCAAGTTCACCTCATTGGAAAACGAACGCTTTTTACTTTGATCCTCCGCTGCTTTTTACAATTTATTGTAATATATCTCACGATGAATATCGGATGAACCATAGTTATCGACTATAATAATATCATGATTATTATCAACAATAACGCTGTCTGTGGTCTCGATAACGAGAATTATAAAATACGGTAACACCACAGTAATAATCAAGAACGATAAATTTTTAATGCGATGGTAACAGGAGCGTTATCAATAACAATAAATATAGTTTTCAATATCATTGTTGATAAATTATTATTATTGTTAATTATATCGTTTTCAATATAATTGCTGTTTTCAATAATATTGTGAGTTTTGATAAATTTAATTTGATTAACAAGGATATTGATTGCTGTGAAAATAATGTAAATTAATTGCATTGAAAAATAACGCTGTACAGCACTATTGATTATATTTCTAAATCCTTAAGAGAGGCATTAAACATTATTAACTTACTTCAGTGTGTATCCAAAACTGATACAGTAGGTTTAATTCTGTGTGGACTAGGTAAATACTTGGAGGTATTGCTAGAGCCAATGGCACATAGAAAAACTAGAATACATTGAAAAATTCACATTAAAGAAATTTTTTTTTTTTCAAATACACATAAGAAACGTAAAAAAAAATTAAGAACAGAGTTTATTGATTCTGAATGACAAATAATAATAAAAATCGTATATTTAAGTTATTTAAAAAAAACTAGACAAATATCAAATTAAAACAGTTAAGAAACCTATGTTATATCAATAAAGGGTTAGAAATTCAGTGATAGGAAAAATAAGCTAAGTTTGGGAGTGTTTTTCAAGGAAACAATAGCATATTAATCAAAAATATTTTTTTTAAAAAATAGATAAATGAAAGAACTTTATTATAATAGTGGTGAACTGTAAAAATTAGTTTCGTTAAATGGCGATTTTATCTGGTTTGTGCAAAAACTCTTTAAATTAAGGTTGACGTACAAAACGTATGGCATTAATTTGGAATTAGTAACTGGAAAGAACAATTAAGTTAGGAGAGAGAATGTAGGTATATACAGCTTCTCTTGAAGCTAATATCGGCACAATTTTCTCATCTGATTAAAAAATATCAAATTTTTCATTGCTGATAAATTCCGTTTGGCGATAAACTTCGCTTTTAGCTGTCTGGGGTCGATTAAAACATTGTCATCAGACACATAAGTCCTATAGAAATCTGAGCCTTCAAGCCATTCCGAATTTTGATTGGCGATAGATATTATTTTATGATAAAATGACAATAAATGCTGCTAATAGTGGGTGAGTTGAAAATTGAACCTAGTTTGTCTTTAGGCACTGAGGAGTTTTGTGCTCTCTGGGCTGTCTAAAAAAAATGCCTAATTTTTTATTGTCAAATAAATTTTATTTATAAAATGACAATAAACGCTGCTTGTAACGGCCAGCCAGAATACGATTGAATTAATATTATTGTCAGACACAGAGGTGCAGTTACAATTTAAGCTTTCTAGTTATTCGAAATGAAGACGGAATTCTGATTGGCGATAAAATCATAATACATGCTGCCTGTGGCAGTCTAGAGACGATTGAAACTTTTATTGTCGACAGAAAGGTGCAGTTTGAGCATTCAAGCAGTCCGGAATTTCAACTGTAAAATCCCATCGTCATAAACACGAAATCAAATTGTTAATAAAAACGTAGTGAGAATATTTTACTGAACATAGGGTGAAATTTATTTTTTCAGGGCTACGTTGTAACAATGAAACTTACCATATAGCTATAAAATTTGTCCATGACTTATAACTATATACTTATGCATAGTAAATAAGTGAAAATAGTATTTATTAAATGTGTTTTATTCATCAAGCTATTCAATCCTACTTCTAATTTTTGTCATGCGAAACATTCTTTCTAAGACTCGTTTTATTTTATAGTTGTAGTCTTCTAAGGTCCTCCATGCGTTTTATGGTTTTAAGCACACATTACGTCTATCATAGTTATCTATAAGCATAGTTATATATAGCTATTAAAGCCATTGGGAATTATCCATAAGTGAGCTATAAGAAAAAGTTTAGTAGACATCAATATTTGATCCACGATGTCTAATGGATCATGTGGACGAATTCTAGACGTCTAATGGATGAATGACATATTATTTATATTTAATTATATTTAAAAAAAATTCTTAAAATTATATTTAGAATTGTATATAAATATCAAGACATTTAATTTAAAATGTAACTTCTTCGCGGCAGCTTTTCTTTCTTATTTTGCGCAAATGTTTAAAGCAAAATTTAATTTCGGTGAAATGAAAATATTGGGTTAAAGTAGTTTCAAGCAAGCTTTGACCCAACATTTTAAACGCTCTCTTTTTTTAATGGCCATTTAAACTTCAATCAAATACTAAAAACAGAAATATGCGACAAGTACTTATGTGGAAAGCTTATCTATAACATTTCCTTTTTTACTGGCTCAAATTTCGCAAAAATACAGGTTTTTGATTCTTAAAAGGAATGTATTTTATTTGGAACATTATTGGTCATCCAGAACAAAACGTAACTGTTCTCTTACCGATAGAAAGTAGCCTTGGAAAACAGATTGTCTTAAAGCCGTCGATAAATTATATTCCTCAGAACTATGATGAACTTGATGAGCAGCCCACAGAAAATTAATTTCTAAAATTGAAAAAGTTATGCTACAATCAGTTATTCTACAGACTAAGTAATTTGCAAAAAGAAAACTGTTCAAGATCTATAGGGTGATCTGTTAAAGTCAGTGGCGCACCAAGAATATCATTCTAGGGGGGGGGGGGTTAAAATTGATTATCTTAGTTTTACTGAATAATGAACACTAAAATATTTTCAATATTATTGAAATAATTTTTTTTAAAAATTCTTTAAAATGATAGTTATTTTTCATTTATAAATTAAATTTATTACGCAGCGAATAAAATATTTATTAATGTACATTGATAAAATACAAAAGATATGGGTTGAGTAAAAATAAAGAAAAAATTCCATACTTTAATTTTTAACTTTAGTCCATTTTTTCATGAAGTAGATTCAGAAACAGCAATTTCATAATAATATGGAACGCCTTCAATAACTTTTGATCTACTGATCGGAACTTCCACGTACTCAAACTTAATGATGACAGGGGTGACCTCAAACATGCTAATTAATTAGTCAAACGATATTTTAATTACGCAATCTGGAAAATATGGTCTCGATAGTTTGGTCAAGAGAGCGGTTGAAAGTTTGAACCCCTTAATGTTAATTTTTCTTTTTGTGTATTTCGCCATATCTGGATAACTTTTTAAGCGAATCGAAAAAATTTTGCAAGTAAAATTAGTTTATCCAAAGATAATTTTTAATATAATTATTTACTATTATTATTTTTTATAAATTGTTATAAAGAATTTAATTTTATATGGCAAAGTATAAAATTTAAACTAAATAGGTCGAAAGGTTTCTGAGAAATCGAATTTTAAGGATACGACTTTTTTAAAATTCAACTTCTCAGCAACTATTCGACCGATTTAAAGCAAATTGTGCATTTTACCAAATAAAATTTAATTCTTTAAAAGTATTTAAAAATTTGTATATAAATAATAATAAATAATTATTAAAAAAAAAATTTGAATTGAGTTACCGTTGAATAAACGAATTTTATAATATTGTGCAAAGCATTTTCCAATCGCTTTCAAAAAGTTCTTGAGGCATACTCAAAAAGAAAAATTAACTCCAACAATCAAGAAATAATAAGAGTCCAAACTTTCGACGGCTCTCCTGATCAAGTTATTGGGACTATTATTTTCCGGATTGCGGCCACCCCTCATATTTTGCCGGTTAGGAATTTAAACTCGTCGAAAAAAATGTAGGCTTTTTCAGAAAAAGTACACTTGTATACATTTCTTTAAAAATCCGATCGTTAGATCAAAAGTTATTCAGGGCATTCAGTTATTTTTCTTTTTCTCGCACTGTACGTGAGAGCTAGACCGTTTAACGTGTTTAGTGAAATGGAGTTTTTAAAATCATGAATGTGAAAAATGACCGTTCAATGTTATAACTGGCAATGTAGCCATTATGGTCAATTAAGTGAATATACCAGGGAAAAGTGACTTATTACAGAGGCAAAGAGCGTCGATAGCACTCACTGGTTTTTTACCAGAAGATGCCAAAAATTGGCTCCACGAAATTAACTCATCCGTAATATATTTTTATCTAAATCATGAAATATTTTCAAGTATGTTATTTTTATCACTATTTTCTCCGTTATTAATAATTGAAATTGCTGTAGTAAATTCTATAAATTTGGCATCATTTAAAATTTCACCCAAAAAAAGGTTGTTCGTTTTAAGTCTGCAGAAATATTATTCCTTATTGTCCGTCAGTACGCGGCTTAGTTACTTGAATACCAAATTTATTTCTTCGACTTCTTAACGATTGGAGTACTTAATAAAATGATAAAAACTAAGGCATTAGTAAAATTTTTAATTTTTTTTTTTTTTTTTTGCTAGTTTAAGAATCAGATATTGTTACAAACGAATCAACGAAATAAAGTGATTTCATTTTTTTCTTCTAATTATATTGGAGAGAAATATATAATTATATTACTCTGATATTGCAGGGAAATTAAAATCTAAAATAATGCTCTAATCAAAGACTTATTTACTACTTCAGGCATGCACGGGTTGCATTTCACTTACATAATGGAAGAAACTGATGAATAATGGACATAGGGTTAAACCATAAGTCACTTCCTCAACATATGTTTGGTTTCCAAAATACAGTCAAACCCCGCTATAGTGAACTCCCGGATATAGTGAACGAAATGTTCGGTCCCGTGCCTTGCTATACACGTATAATGTTATTTTTTGTGGATATAGTGAACCAAAAATGTGAGGAAGTTGGATATAATGAACTTTTTTCTGCCTTCAACTGATTTTTTTTTTTTTGTAATAAGTTTGAAATTTCTACTTCAAAATAAATACATATACCAGTGTTTAAAACCTACTATAGAGGGGAATGTAGCGATAAGCATTTTTTCTTGTTTGCTTCTTTTATTTCACTTTCCAATCTCTAAACAAACCAAGCAGATGTTTCTAACCCAGGCAGATGATGCACCTATAAGGTGTCAGTGGGATCAATATGCATTTTCTGTCAGATTGAATGAGTAATTATTCATAATTGGTCAAAGGGATGGACACTTACATGTGTTGATAAGGCCCTCATTTCAACTCCTCTTTGCTCTCAGTTCAGTTAAAAAAAATTGCAAACAAGTGTCTCAAATTTAACTATGGCGACCAGTAAACGTAAAACGTTCTCCATTGATGATAAAATGGACATAATCAGAAAAATTGAAAATGGATGCAATCAAGTTGATATTTGCAGGGAATATAAACTATCCAAATCTGTAGTTTGTAACAAATGGAAGAATAGGCAATTAATTATTTCTGCTCATGAAAAAAATTTCGATGGCAGAAAAAAGTTGAGAAAAGCGGACCACAAGGATGTTGAAGAAGCATTACTGAAGTGGTTCACCATTCGAAGAAGCCGCAATCTTCCAGTATCTGGACAAATGTCCATGAATTTGCTAAGCGATTTTATGAGGCAACTTTTATGTGCTCGAATGGCAGATTAGACAGGTTTAAATAGCGGAATAACAGAAATTCAGGAAAAATTATCTGAGAGTCAGGAAATGTTTTCATATCTGATTTTGAGGATTGCTCATCACCTAAAAAATACTAATTTTTTTTTTTGTACGCAAGACGAAGAGTAATGAAAAATAACATATCTTTTACTACTACATAATATTTTTAAGTCATTTACTTGAATGATGTGTAATAAAAGGGAGGAGTTTGGGAATGATTAGTTAAATTGCATGTGTAACGGATATAGTGAACCCCCGGTTATAGTGAACCAAAATGTCGGTCCCTTTAAGGTTCACTATAGCGGGGTTTGACTGTAGTTTATTGCCCTCCTACATAGTGAAATCATCAAGGCACTCTTTATAAAGAAAATAATATCGTTGCTGGAACAACAGTAACGTGTCTGTACTCTCAAATTTATGTTATTCATTTATTTTCGATATATAAATATCATGTTGAAACTATCAATAATTTTGGGGGCTGTTTAGAATCAATAATCAATCAATATAAACTACAATACAAAGAACTAAACAGCATAAAATATTGTATCAATTAAAGAAATTAACATGTTATTTGTTTAATTTTCGATGTCTAAAGAATCAATGCAAGCAAACAATGAACAAAGTATCTGATCTTTTTCTAACGATACAATCATAAGAAAAAGTGTTGAACTTTAACGATACGGAAGTCGTTAATGTGCACATTATAAAGGTAAAATGCGAAAAATACTTGATTACGCAATTTGACGAATTACTATAGTAAATTTGTAGATTGGATGTGCAAATTAACGGCTTTCGAGTTTAGCGGAAACATGTATACAAATGAAATCTTCACAGACAGTATTTGATAGCTTTTTATGTAGCTATTTTCAAAAATCAATATTTTTTTTTTAAAGCATTTTAGCACAGAAAAATGTAGTCTTATCAATACATGCCGATCACAAATAATTGTATTCAAAAGATCACTTGAAATTAATTTAGATTTTTAATCACAGAATCCGTATGAAACGCTACGTTGTCATTACTATAAGCAAAATAGCAAATAATTCGAACTACGCATAGTCATGATTTTTTATATTTAAAATGCTCTTAATAAATTATTAGAAAACATTCAGTAGCAATAAAAACCTCGTTGAATTTTCTTTTCCTTTTTTTTCCGATTAAAATCAATATCATTTTGTACTTTCTGTAATTTCGCTTTCATTAGAATCAAAATTATTTTATTTCATTAGTATTAAAACTAATTATTACTATTTAATTATTTTTAATAATTTCATTAGTATTAAAATAATTTTCCAAAATATTTTTTTTACATAATTTCTATAATTATTTTATGCAGATATTGATCTTAAACACGTTAAAGTAATATATTAAAAAAAATATGTTATCGTAGGGTATTTTTTATGACAAAACTAGGGGACATTGCAGGGAAAATTGAAGATCGTGACAGCACATATTTCACCCCCCATAAGGTCAAGCAAACAACTGTTTGTTGACAAAAATATTTATAATTTTCGAATTTAAAATAGAACATATATTAATTTTCAGCAACAACAAAAAAAAAATGCTTTTTTTTTGGTCAAAAATCTGATAAGGCGTTAAGAAACCCTTATGTGCAGATTTTTTGATAGGGAATAAGAATTCTTAAAGAAAATAAAAGATTGATAAATAAGATAAATTGCAATAATTTTTTTACCGTGACTCGCTCTGTGCCCCCAGTAATAAAGAAAATCAATAGCAGTCAGTGCAATAAACCATGTCCACCATGAATTCCAAGGCAATGCAATAATTTTGTAGTTATTATACACATAAATATAAGTGACCACCGTCCAGCTACGAAAAAAGATTCTGTAAAGAAAAAAAGATATGACTAATATATACGAATGAGTGATAAGAAAAATTTTAACATTTCTTAATGGTAATACATATTAAAGATTATCATCCTTTTTCTATTTAGTTTTCATACATGCAGCAAGATTAATGTTAGTGAAAACGTAAAAGGAGCAAATTATAAGAATGGTATATCTTTTATTATATAGTTTTTAGAATACAATTTAATGTACTTACTTGCTGAGTTCTTCTAGAACTCCTTGAGTAATTGATGAAACAGCATCATTCACTCTCAAAGTTGGTTTCTTTTGATATCTCAAAATTACTTGCTCCAAAATAAAGAGAGTGAGGAAGAAGGGTATGACCTAAAAATGAGAAGAAAAATAATTAAGTGTACCTCCACCAAAAACGAATTAAATACTTTAATAAAGTAAATATTTATGAAAAATAACGGAATTAACATTATAGTGCGACTATCAGGAGAACTCCTCCAGACACCCGTCTCGCGCCGTGGCGGGTACTATGGTTACAAGGAAAAGACACTTCCAATAGGGGTGTAGGGTGAATAGTTTTGTCTTAATCTTGGCATAGGTCGTCGACGTCGTAAGTAAACCAGTCAACACCTTCTTTCCTCCATTTCACCCCCATTAGAAATGTGCTCTCGCTTGTTACCATACTTGCAAACAGTCCCAGATTTTTAGTCTGGAGGAGTTCTCCTCAAAGCCGCACTATACCTACTTTTTTAAAATTTACGGAAGTTTTACAACTTTTTATTATTAAAAAAAATACAAATATAAAAGTTTTTTTTAGAATACCATTCATATTATTTCTAAAAGGTTAATTTTTTATGTACAGTGCTCAAAATAAAAAATGAACGCCCTAAATAACTTTTAAACTGATGACTGTGTTTTACTGTTTTATGACTCAATGGTTAGAAGACCTAAGCTCAAATATACTAATTCTTTAGCACAGACAATATTTTGAGCTACGAAATCAGATACAGAAACGTTTTTTATTACTTTTCTTTCAAAATAAACAAATCTTTTTATAGACCAATTCGGATTTCTGACCCTCAAAATGTGGTCCTAATAGTTTGGTCAGGAAAGAGATTCAAAATTTGAACCATTTAATGTTTAATTCTACTTTTTGTGTGTTTCGCCATATCTCGTGTTTTTTAAGCGAATCGAAAACTATTGGCCACTTTTACAAAATTCGTTTATCCAAAGATTAATTCCTGCATAAACTAATTTTTAATAATTATTTATAATTTTTTATTATTTATTTTAAAAAAAAATTTGGAATGTAAAATAGACAAAGCAAACATCATTTAAAAAAGCAAAATTCGAAATTTGAACAAAATCGGCAGAAAAGATATTGCGAAATGAAATTGAACTTTTTTAAAATTTCGCAGCTCAAAAACCATTCGAATTTTATGCTTGTACGCGTAAGTTTTTATTATTATTATTCGTTTATGTTCTTCTAGAAATTGGGAAAATAAAAAATGGAGCATTGACTTAAGCAAAAATTGAATTTAACATAAAATTGCAAGAACTTTCGAACGATCTTATGAATTAACTATTTTAATTATTTGCTTGCCCCCCTCTACCCCCAAATTTGCGAGAGTCGAAAAATCGAATTCACCAGAAAAATTGTATGCTTCTTAAAAGAAAATAGATTTTTGAGTTGTATTTAGTATTAAATAAATAAAAAAATTAGCATAAAAAGTTCAAATTAAAAATTAGCATATTTTAAGTCAATCTCTCGAATCATAAAGATTGCAGCTTTAGTGTAAGTAAAAATTAGGAGTTCCGTTTTTTATTTTGTGTACTATAAGTTATATTGTTTTCATTTTTTAAAAAATCAATAAACCATTACAGTCTGCAAGTTATCTTTAATAAAAATGTCATTTGATAATGTTTGGATAAATAATTTGAAATGATTGGGATAAATAAATACGTACCTGATCCACATAATTTGGTACTTCTTCGACGGTTTCAAAAGAATGTTTGCTTGGATTGACGGCATAGAAAAGGTAACCTAAAGGTTCTATGATATTTAAAATAGACGCATTCCGAATTCCGTCCATTTTTTATTTACATTCTATGAAGGAAAGAAAAAGTTGATTAAAATATAGAAAATATTTAAATGAAAACAATTCACTTTATAATGAAAACAAATATGACAGCTTCTCAGCTTTAAAAAAGCTTCAGTATTTATCTCTCATATGATTTTTTTATCTATAAAATAAGATTAAAAAAAATATCCGAATAATGTAATCATCTATCTCCTAAAAACCTTTTTAAAAGCAGAAAAAGCCGCTATTTTCAAATACTTTCAACTTTAATGCAATAAAAAAATCATTGTAGTCGCTTTGTAATAAAAATNCCCTGAATTTTTTTTTTTCGTAAGCTGTAAAACAAACATAAAATATACTGGGGACATGAAAATGACTGTTTTTGTGAGAATGACCCATATATAAGTAACATGAAAAGCTTAAATTAATCTTTTTATGCTATTCTTTTCCTTATTTTATTATTCTAATCGAAACACTTTCTCGCACTTTTAAATTCACATCCTGTCCTTAAATCTATTTTTGGCTCAAGTATGCATTAATTAAAAGTAAGACATTTTTCCCTTTGTGGGAATCGCGCGACCTATTTGATAAACCAATTACTAAGATTTCCCTTATTCCCTAAAACGAAGCATATTACGGATTTACTTAGCAAGATTTTCTTTAACTTCTAATCGAGGAGCACAACTTTTCGTTCCACTTTTATAGCTGATCTCTGTCTAATAAATAAATTTTGCACCCTCCCTCCCTGCCTAAGACCTGTTTTAATCCTTCCACTCGGCAACAACGCTATATAATATATATAAATGAATGTATGTCTGTGTGTCGTTTATCTATGTACTCGTATATAAAACTGAATGAATGTCTGTCTATGTGTCCTTTATAGACTCCTAAGCCATCCGACCGAAAATGACGAAATTCGGCATTCAGATGGTTTGAAGCACGAGGAAGGTCACTGTCGACATAAGAACATTCTACCATAAACCGTTCGAGCGGGATAAACGAAAAACAAAAATAATTTTTCTGATTGGTTAAGTAATAACCATCGTTTTAAATTTAACTTTAGACAATTCAATTTTTCAAATATTTTAAAGATATCGTCAGTGATATTTGCTTGCCTAAAGCTCTATTTGATCAAAAAAAATTATTGCACGTACATGAGTGCTTAATTTATATTTTATTCGTTATGTCAGATAAATTCACTGATCAACATTAATATGGTAGCATTCGTGGACCGTTGCCAAATTAATATTTCCAAAATTGTTGGATACCAAGTGTTTATTTTGTTTATAGTAATTCTTTTCTAACTTATTTCTATAAAATAAACAATTTAAAAAAAAGGTAATTGAAATATAAAAAAATATGTATTTAAATTTGAAAGTTTTCTCATAAAGAATAAAGATATGTGGCTACTTAAACGTAAATTTTTATGAGAGTTAATTTTAAATTTGAGACATAAACCAGGGTAGCAACCCGTTAAAAACAATTACTTTTTCAAGGACTTAAATCCGAGATTAACATTCTATCATATCACTGTTTTTTCTTCTTTTTTTTTTAGACAGCTTTTATCGGCTTTAGTTCATTATATAAAAAAAAATTATCAGATTTTTTTTTAATTACAAAGAATAAGAATGATATTTTTATCGTATAATAACGTCGTTAGTTAAGATTAAAAAGTTTTAGATAAGAATGATAGTTTAAGTTTTAGAGAATAATGGCACTTTCTGCTTTGAAAAAAGATTTTTGAATGATATTATGAGTTTTTGAGGTCTATGTACTAAAAAACTCAATGCCTAACAAACAACTGCCTCAACCAATATCTCAATGCCTAACAAACAATATCACTATTAACTTATACTAAACATAGTTAATCAAAATAAGTTTTTTAAAACGACAATAAGGTAAGATTAAAAAGATGGACTGTATATTATTAGTATTTGGGACATTACAAAGTATTAACATTTGTCGGGAAAGCCTGGTTGGTAGGGCGTTGGACTGGTGTCCCATAGAACGGAAGATCGAATCCAGCCTATAGAAGAATTCCCGTGTATTAAATGGTGACTGTTGCACGTTAAATCTGTTGGGGTCACTAAGTCCTCAGAATTCCCATAACAAATCAATACCTCTGGGGCTACTGATCCAGGAGTCCCCTTGTCATCTGGATTGGGATAAAAAGTACAAGGCTGCGGTGTTGAATTTCGGCAGTCGTAACTCAAAATTTGGGTTAGCTGTTCAACGAGGGTTATAAAATAAAACATTAGCATACCACCAGCTTTGCAACTGGAATTGCTCAAGTAAAAGGGGAATTTTATTAAGCAATCAGCAAGAACAGTGTGAAATTCCCGTAAAGTTGTGCTATCACTATTTCATAATATACAGTATTACAGATATTTCATTTTGCTGTAAATTTCCCCGTTTATCTGGTTCTCTAATACAGAGTTTGAAATTTTTGTTCGCTTTCACATTGATACTTTATGAGAGTCAAGATTATCGTTATAACTCTCGACAATAACTACTGAGAGCATAAAAAAAACATTATAATTTTTGGCAAACTAATATCAAGGATCCTAATACCAAGGATCAAGTACTACAAATTCCTTTTCTTTTTTTCAGCTCTGCTATAAACTATCATACTGAGATTTCACTTGAAATATTCGACAATAATTACTGATAGCACAAAAAAATTTATTATCATTTTTGGAAAACTAATATCAAGCATCCTAATACCAAGGATCAAGTACTACAAATTCCTTTTCTTTTTTTCAGCTCTGCTATAAACTATCATACTGAGATTCAACTTGGTATACAACTTGTACTTTTTTTTTACTATCTCTTGCTCTTTCCGATAGCTTTACATTATTAAAAAAAAATATTTATAAGTTCAACTTGCCAAAAAAAAAAGTTTACTATGCATACAATATTATTCAACAAAAAAAAAATAGTCAAAATTCACCACAATCACCATTTTCTTGATGTTTTTACTTTTAATACATAACTTCAATTTCATGTTTTTAATGTCGTTGAGTTTACAAAGTTAATAGAAACATGTATTAAAATTAGTAAAAGTCAACAACAGCATAGATAAATAAGCGATTTTATTCAGAGATGTCATCTGCATACATCATGCAATTATTTCTCAGGCTAACCTTATACAAGAAACAAAAATAAATAATTCATTCATTCATTATTATTATATGAATATATATTTCAATATTACTCCGATATTAATATATTTCAATGTCAGACAGAATGCTCTAATTTTGGCTTATATGTCTGAAATCTTCTTTGCGTACATCTTTCCTTGGTAAAATTGTCCTCATTTTGATTTTTAATTTCTTTTAAACATTGTTTTTCACATTTTATTGCATTCTCCGTTCCTCTTTTTTTATTTATTTTGGCTGTGTGGAGGTAGCATATTGTCTGACAAAATTTTTCTAACAAAAATAATAATAATAAAAACTGCGTGATGCGTTTTTCTAAAAAATAAAAATAAAAAAAACTTCTAATCATTTCTTTAACGGTACGCCTAAACCAATCCTACCAGTGTGCTCATACTTTATAAGGATTTAACATTAAATTATTAAAAAGGATTAAGCACCTTGACGAAAAATATTCGAAGGGCTAAGACCCCTTAAAAATGGTGCTTTTGTATTTCGAAAATTCTATTATATACGCAATCGGTGTTACTTTGTCAGACTATAATTATTTGCTAAAATTATTTTGAAACTGAAATATAGATGGCACCGCCAGCTATCTAATTAGATTGATCGCATTAAAAGTTACATTTAAGTAATATAATTTTACCATTAATCAATTAATTGCAAATTTTAAAAAAATAAAAATAATTAAGCAAATTATATCCAGTCTGGTTTGTATAAAGTTAATAAAATATGATAAAACTTAATCTGCACTCAATCGATATAACGATACATTTGTTTATCTAATATCTATGTTTCGTCAAACAAAGAAAAAACAAATAATATCGAAGTTAGATAGCAATCCACAGGTAATTGGCATATCTAATTATTCTATCAAAAACTCAAGATTCATCAAATGTCAAACAACAAAGAGAAGAATATTTTTATAACTTACCCGAAAGATTATAGTTTAAACTATTAGCTTTTACGAACCCAGCATGACGCCGTAGGAGAAAAATAAACAGCTTTTCTGAAGGTCACATCAATTTACATTTATCTTTTAGGAAATGGTAACAGATATGTAGTGAAAGAAAAAGGATGATTTTCCATAGAATTTCCCTTTTAATACGTTTTAAATAGGTTTTGTAAAATAGAGCTAGCTTTTTTTTTATTATTCTCACTGTACTTGCATTACTTTTTTTAGAAAGAAAAAATAAGTTAATAGAGACTAGGAAAAAAGCATAATATTTTAAAATTAGAATTTTAGGCTTAATTTTATCAAAAAATTTAGAACATTTACACAGACTTATACTTCGTGAAACATAAAATGTTAATAATCTATTTATACTTTTTTCTCTGATTTATTGAAAAGTAAAGTATATTTTTGCTTTTATTTAATAAACAAAAATCAATTTTATAGATGACATTTTTAAATAGAACTAGCAGGCTCCGCTAACCAATCCATATTTTTGTTTCGCATTCGTCGTCGTTCGTTTCTCCCTAAATTGGTGATACTTTTTACGTAAAACCAAAAAATTTTATTATTCAAATATAACTGTTAAACAAACAAAAAAATAATTGTTCATAAAATATATTTATCAAGCAACGAACATTTTGTTACTAAAAATTTTATAATATTATTCGTATTCTACTTTTTTGTATTATTATTATTATAAACAGGAACAAAATAATGTATTTTACTTTATTTTCTAACCGTCGTCGAACAGCCGACACAATGTTTTGGGTTTACGACTACTAATGTTCAACTGCGTAGCCTTGTAATTTTGCATCAGGCATTGGGTCAAGCTAGCCTTCGTGAAGGACTTTTTGATGCAACTAATCCGCATTTGTGAACTTGAGTCACTTCATTCATACGAATGTGAATCATAGAGACACCTTTATTTTATTTTATTACCTAGTTAAACAACCGTCCCAATTTTGCGTTTACATTACAACTACTAATGCTCAACTTCGTAGCCTTGTAATTTTGAGCCCAATCCAAAAGGCAAGGAAACTGATGAATCAAGTAATGGGAGACATTTGCCTTCATGGAGGACTGTTTCTGCCTTTTTTTACAATAATATGCAATATTTTTACAATAATAATTTCCTTTTGCTTTTTTACAATAATATAATGTATTTTATTTTATAACCGTCGTTGAACAGCCAACCCAATTTTCTGGGTTTACGACTACTAATGTTCAACTCCGTAGTCTTGTAATTTTGAACCCCTTGTGGTCGGTGCAAGCCGGATGCGGAATTCGTATCGACCAGCCATCGCCGGGATCGAATCCCGGTTCACCACATTGGAAGGCGAGCCATCGCGGCTCTCAATATAATGTATTGTAAAAAAGCAGAAGGAAAGAAAGATTTATTATCAGTATTATAAAGAATGAGTAAACACATAAGATTAATTATTAAACGCTATCAAAATTATGGTGCTAAAAGAGCACTCGGAAATACAATTTAATTTTATCTTCAATAAGTATAATACAAAAGTATCAAGTACGTATACTATTTTTAATGTATCAAGTCATAACTGAAAGATGCAAAAGTGTCTGAGGATTCATTGAAAAAAAAATAATCTTGCGAATTTTTTTTTAAAATTATTATTTTTATTTATCGATACTTTAAACCGGATGTACAACATAACAATGCGATGCACTATAAACTGTACAATTATGAAATCATTGCAATTCGATATTATCATCAGCGTGAAATTATTAAAAACACTCGATGTTGTAATTTTTCGCAATTCAACTGTGTTCATATTCGAAGCTCATAAAATTGACAAAGAAACGTATGGTTTATTTATTTTATTATTTATTTGCTTAGCTATATGTTTGTTATTCAACTTTTGTAAATGATTTTTATCTGCTGCGAAAACAGCGTCTAGGATATACAAGTAACAGGATAATACAAGCTGAGAATTTTTAGAGTGAATTTAATAAAAAAAAGTAATTTTCAATACTTTATAGAACAAAAACGCGTTTAGTTTCATGCACATTTTTGTGTCAACTATTTTAAATTTAGTTCAAAACGTAAAATAACTTTGAAATAGATTTAAATGTTTTTATTTATCGAGCAATTCATAAGTCACTATAAGAAACTTTTTTATTTTTTTATTATCAAAACTACTTGATGTTTTCCCCTTTTTTGCTTTTGAGATAAGGCTTATTGAACCAGTTGATTCAACTGCATTACATCACAAACAATGCATACTATTTTTATTCTTTTACACCTAAAATTTCGAAAATTCTTCATTATATATTTTAGACTCCAAAACACCTGATGCCATTCTTTGAAATAGTTTTACAATATCTAATATTGTTGCAAAAATATCCGGTGAAAAATGGTGGCCCCTATGTTTTCCCTTTAAAAGAATATTTGTTAATTTTGCCGTGAGGTATAGGTCAAAAGTGTCCAGTTGTGGCAGTTATAACAAAACCCATTTTTTTTAAAAATTAAAAAATTTTAACTACTTAAAAAACTTATGACAAGTAACGTAAGTCATTTCTCAAAACATGTCAAACATTGCAAGATACATATCTAAAATGGAGAAAAATTTTTAAAAAACATGTGTTGAGTAAAATAACTTTCAGATTGTGAAATAATCGTAATAATTCCGTACTTATTGAAGAAATAGTAATAAAATGGATTTATGACGCATCTTTAGCGAAAAAAGTGCATATGGCGTGGCAATTTGCAGACAATTTTTTAATGATTATTTATTTTATTTGTGGCCAATGGTGACCGTTAATTTTGCCCTACATCCGTAAAATCTCAAAATAAGTTTAAACGGCATGTAATTTTTATGGGCAATTTTTATTTATGCACAATTATCAAATACCCTATTTTTATGTGCAGTTTTTATTTAATTAGTCTTTGTCTGTGAAGCAGAAAACGAATTAAGATAGTGTTGCAGATTTACTCTGATACCGGGCTAATGGATATCCATGGTATTTTTATCACTCTTTTAAATATTAATTTCTATTTTGATAGGGTTTTTTTTTATTAAACACTTCCACTCTAGAAAAAGTTGATACAGTAGAACCTCGATTAACCGAGGTTTCTGTTAACCGAGGCAATAACGAAATCTAAATTTTTTTTCTTCTCCTCACCAAAATGAGCTTGGAAGAAATTATACACTTATTAGTTCGTTGTACAGGCTTCCCCACAAAAGCACTCAACTCCCATGAAATATTACACCCTGAGAAGACAACATCCATGAATGCTTTGTTAACAGTGGTCATGTGACTTGTAAGTTTAATCGTGTCAATTTTAAAAATACAATATTTTCTTGAGATTTGTGTTATTTTTGAAAATGCGTCTTTCGATATTTAACTAAGTGTAGTTAAAAAAAATTCCATTTTACTTTTTAAAATTTACTATTAGAGTTGATTTCCTTTTTAAGTCTTTGTGAAACATAAGTTCATATATGTTTATTTTTATCATTTAAAAACGTTCTATTGTTTTTTACTTTAAAAGTAGTTAAATTCGCAAGCACGGAAAGTTTTTATACATGATTCCTATTAACCGAGAGGTACTAGCGGTCCCAATTAGCTCGGATAATCGAGGTCTTACTGTATTTATTTTTAATTTCAAACGTTATAGCATAGAGATAACTGTTTTAATCCACGATAGAAATAAAATAATTAGATAAAGTCGTTCATAAGCAAAACTTGTAAAGATAGAAAAATAAATATATCTTGTTACGAAATGAAGACCTTTAATAGTGTGTTTTTTTCTTTACGTTTATCTAAAAAAAAAATTTTTTTTTAAATAAAAAAAAAACACGTTTTAATAAGGTAGTCTAGCAGCAGAGCCGGATACAATTAGACGAAGTTAAAAGAAAATGTGAAATTCTTTTTATCATGTATTTTACAATCATGATTAAATAAAACAAATAACATTTGACAAAGGGAGGAGACATAACATTGAATGTGTAGGTGATTCAATTCCCTTCCTTTATGTACCCTAAAATGAGATATATTTAAAAAATTCGTTCCTTCTAATAATACTGGCATAGACGAAATAATTATAAAATTTAAAATAAAGGTAAGTGCCACTGGAACAATGATGAAAACCAGTTGCCTTTATTGAGAAGGTGTTTATTAGGAAAAAGTCGGTAGCTGTTTCAATTTTTAATTTAAAATCCCTGTAATACAAGTCTATAAAATATTTTAAAATGTTTTAAACCCATGTGACTTGTAAGTGAGTGGACATAATTACATCATTTTTCCAAGCGATTTCTAATGACTCGAGATTTTGGATGTGAGTACATTCATCTAGAACAGGGGTTTCCAACTTACATGAGGCAGGGGGCCACAATTAAAAACACAAATCAAATGGCGGGCCGCAACTTTATCTTAATTTTATGTAGGACTCTTTTATGTTTGAAGGAACATTAATGGCAGATTTTTACCAAGTTGTACAAAACGAAAGTATTGAATTGCAAATTAAAATAAGAAGCAGATTTTTAAAAATATTTAATTGTTATTAATAATATTTTTAAAAATATTAAATAAATAATAAAATTTCGGGCTACAATAACTTTACTGTGCACCTATGTATTAAACAATTAATGTGCAACAGATATCTAATTGTTAAGATATAAAACTTTAGAAAGGTTGGTAATAAAATTTACATAGTAGCACACAAAATATTCAATGAGAAAATTGTGGTTTGTCTGCTGCACCTACCAGAGAATAGATATTTACATTTTAAATTAAAAATTTAAAAATGTGTGTGTAAATATTTTCGTCCAAAATGAGTGGTTTCAAAAAGTTAAATCGGAAAATTTCTTCGAGAAAATTTCTGATACGCACATGCTAAATTATATTCACAAAATACAAAAAAATAAAATAAAAAAGAGCAACATACACGATTATTTTTGTATTTGAATAAATATTTTCTTGGATGCAAAACCTGAGAAATAAATTTTTTTGCACCGTTGGTATGTTAAATTTCACAGAAACGAAGAAATTAGGTTTTTATTAACGAGAAAAGTGGAGTTTTTACCATATAGTTTTACGAAAATTAACCGCCAAAAAATGACAACTAATATAATTTTGTTCGCGGGCCACAAAAAAAAGGCTTCGTGGGCCGGATGCGGCCCCACGGGCCGCCAGTTGGAAACCCCTGATCTAGAAGAAATAAATTAGATTTAATTACTCTAGATATGATTTTGCTAAATCAAATGTATTTTTTTCTTTGCCCAACTCACGAAATGTAATTCAGGATAATGTTTCTTTAGTTGGGTTACCAGTCCATTCATATAGCAAATCAGGCTGCTTCCAAGAGATGCAATATCTATCAATTAATATGAGTAGAAAAACAAAACAGAGCTTTAAGTATAATCAGTTAATATTTAAAGCATTACTGAAACATCTCACTATTATCTTCCATAATTTGTTTAGATTGAAAAATAAGATAAAAAACGTACAAAATGTATATTTTCTTGTACAAGAAATTACATCGAATGCTGACAAAATGGCGATTTTTAAACTTCATAAACACTCAATTAGGAGTATCTGCTGCCAAAATAATGGCGGAGGCCCAACGAAGAAGCCGGCCCAAGTAACATTTCCCTAAATTGCATTCAAATAAGCATTTTTGTAAATGTTATTCTAAGAATTCTGTTTCTTTTTCGATACAAATTCAGAGTTTAAAAACGTTTTTTTTTCTCCACATGTTGTATTAGATACCTAAATTTTAACAATTCTACTTTTTCAAATAAAATAAAACATTATCAAATAGATTTTCTTTCTAGTGCTTTTTCCAGAAGAATCATAAAACATGATTCTCGAAGAACATTTTTATCTCAAAGAACAAAAAATATGCATACTCACGAAGTTCTCTCAATCCATAATATTTCTTTGGATGTTAAAAAGATCGAAGTATATGATATAGTATATTCAGAGTACGTAGATTATTATCAATGACAAAGAAGATATCATACAGATGTGATAATCGATATCACAGTTTAAATCACATGTCATAAAAAGGCGATTATTTTATTCCTTTTTATCAACCAGCATTTTCAATACATATCTATATCTCTGTGAGGAAAAAAATGTCATTCTTATTAAATACAAAATTCCACCGTTAAACTGTTTTCTAAATTGGTATTGTGAAACAAGATAGTTTCCATGCTGTTTGGAGAAAAGGGTGAAAGTCAGTAAGCAGTAAAAAAAAAGAAGAATGCAAATTAGCATTTTCAATGTCAATCGTTAGAACAATTTTTTTTTTTTTTNTTTTTTTTTTTTTTTTTTTTTTTTTTGTCATCAGAAGCTCATGTGACCTAACTTGTTTTGTCTGAATAATTAACTAATTGATAGCCCACTGATTAATTGAAAAAAAGAAACCCTTTGAAAGAAATTTTTCCTTCTGAAGTGAATACACCATCTCAACAATAAAAATATAAACAGTTTTTAAAAAAACAAAATAAAATAATAAAATAAAATAATAAAAAGGGGCAAAATTAAAAGACTAGATTTCCTGTCGTTGATCAGTAATAAATTACTATATCAAATTTCAAAATTTATAAAAAAAAATTAAATAATTATGGCAACGGAATCAAACTTCAAACAAAAAATACTTCACAATATAAATTTTAAATGTGTATAAAAAAAATATTATTCGAAATTCAATTGCTCGTTAAAATCAAAATCCATGTTGCATTCTTGGAGCATTGGTAGGTAAATGGTTAAATGAAAACTATAAAATATTAAAAAATATTCAATTTGATGTATTTATTTTATTAAAATTAAATTCGTTATGAATTTAAAGCTTTAAACATTGAATTTTATAAAATTAAATTAGGCGTTTTTTATTCTAGTTTTTAAATGAAAATATAAAAAAAAAATATTTTGAAAAAAAATAACTAATTTAATATTTTCACTTTTATTAAAACTAAATTAATTATCAATTAAAAGCTTTGAAACATTCACTTTCTTTTAAATGAATATTAAATGCTTTTATTTATATTTTTAATTTAAAATAATAAAATATAAAAAAATCGTTAATTTATTATTATTACTTTTATTAGAATTAAGTTAATTACGAATTTGAATTTATTAAAATTATATAATATATAAAATATTTTCTGTTAAAGCTAATGCATAAATTATTAAAAATTTTATGTTAATTATTATTATTTTTAGAATTTGTCCTTGCGAAATTTTGTCCGGCGAAGATTTGATCCATTATCGTTTAACAATAATGAATAATCTAAACAACAAAAAAAATTTTATATAATTTATATTTTTTTTTGTAATTTATATTTTTTTACAATTTATATATTTTTTTTAAATTTATATTTTTTTATAATTCATGTAATACTTATTAAACAGAATGCTAAAACATTTTTTTATTAATTTGAAGTATGAAGTAATTATTCGATATTTAGATTGTGTTCTGTTTTAATTGCTAGTTCCAGTGCTTTTCCAAATTTGTTCCCTCCTTTTTTTTCATTTTTATTCACCGAACAAGCTTAAATTGGCCTCTATAAAAGAAATGAAAAATTTTACTTAAATAAGATGCTAAAATAGTCTGCAAAATACTTTTGGCTGTAGCTGCTTCATTCTTTTCAATTACTCTTGATGCCTAGTAAACAAATATGTTACATTATTTTGTCTTGAGATTGAATAATGTGATTAATTTTTAAAAAAAGTAGGGCAATTTGCGCTAGATAATTGCGACATTACTAAATCCAGACAGTTGTTCTCTTTTAAAATGTACAAAGTAACATATACTCAGACTTATTTACACTTATATACTTATCCATAATTTAAATGGAACGATTTTTTAATTTTACAAAAGTAAAGAGGAAAAAGTGAACTAAGCTTACATGCATCGGGTTTTATCCAATTGTTTTGTATTCAATAGCATGAAATGCAATAATGCCGTACAAATAGAAATAAATTTTCCTTGTGATATATTTTCCTCATATATATTCCTGTGATATTTATTATAAATTTTCCTCATATTGATATCACTCAACAGTTTACTTGCCGAAAGATAGGTTTCAGAAAACAATTTTATTAATTTAAAAGTCAAAACAGCGACATAATTCAAAGAGAAGAGACAAAGCTTCATCCCGAAAACACCCGAATTTCTAAAAGAACACTTTGAGTAAGCTTAAATAAAATAATAAAAAATAGATCAGTTAAAAAAAATTTTAAAAATTCAAACGCTGCTTTAACGCTGTTCCAGTTAGAATTCCCCCCCCCCTTTTTTTGAACCTTAACAATAGTGATTTGATGCTACATAATTAAGAAAATTACATTATAACTTCACTTAAATTCCTTTACTTATTTTATTTAAAATAAAATTTTATATCACAAAATTAAGCAATTTTATGCAATGAAAAAATACAATTAGTAGCGGTTTACACTAACTGAAAAGTGCGTCCAAAAATTGACATTTTCTATTGCTTTCTATTATTATTATTATGCTACTATTATTATTGCTTTAATATTATTGCATGCAACTTAGTCGCGAAAAATGAGATAGACCGATATGCATTCTTCAATTTTAATCAAATTCTTAAGAATATTGTAACCAAAGCACTAAGTCATTGTCATTGAAGTTAGCCCATGCCATTTCTCGATTTTTTTTCCTTGTCAAAATTAAAAGTTGTGTAATTGAATGAAATCAGTAACTGAAAGAAAAAACCTTCACTAAAATGGATAATTTCACATTCCTCATTGTCAGTTAATTGTTAAAAGATCTTTTTTTGATGGTTTTAAACACTCATGCAAAGATTATCCTGAAAAACAATGCAAATAATCAAAAACCATTTTATGTAAATAAGAGATGATTTCATCCAGGAAAAAAATCTGTTCCACACAGCATATTTTTTTAAAATTTAAATCTTTATCAGAATAACTTTCAGACACTTATCAAAGCCATTTATTGAAAACAATAGAAAAGAACAACTATTCCACTCATTTTTTTCCCAATGTTAAAAGCTGATTATCCTGACGCAATTATTATTACTTCATGCAATTGATAAAGCTCAGATTTTTTTTTATGAAGTTATGCTTTATACCCATAACCTTTATTCCTTTTCAACTGTGTAAGTTATGCAGGATTATTCTTCATTGGAAATTAGATTTTGGAAGAATATAATAATGATAATAAAAAATTATGACAAATATAAGATATTAGAGGCTTACTGTTAGAAAGTCATTTAAATAGAGAAAACGTTGAAGTTGTTTTTAATGGTCTTTACAGATATTTAATGTGGGAACCTTGGTTAACCCCTTCCTTCTCGCTCTCGTGAAAATGACGGGGTGAGATTTCGCCCTCTATTTCTCGCTCCCGTGAAATTTCCGGGCTGGAGTGTTCAGTAGTAACGTGACAATAAGAATAAAACTAATTCATTTCTTTTGTTCGGAAAACATTTTATTTCTCATTTTACATACTAGATGGCAGTACCAGGATATTTTTAATATAATTGTAGATAGTTAGTTTATTTTAAACTAGATATCAGCACTAATCAAATACGTGTGTTTGGTAAAAAAAGACCGTTTTCTTGAAAATTAACCGATCGTTAAGGGGTTAAACGTTAGTCGTCAATCCGATTATCTGTGTAACGGTTGTCCTGAATCCGATTATAAGTAACAAGGCATTCTTTCATGATTTTTGTTTTCTTCAACGTTTTGTACCTGAAAGAATTGACTTTTGGTGTCTTCTGACTAATATTTCGTGCAACTGCCTGCAATTTTGAAAATTCAACACAAGAAATTCTCCCTCCCCCCTTCTCAAGAAGAATATTTTACCTCATTGGCTGCTTTTTTAGAAAATTGTGTAAATCGTATTTTGTCAAATACCTACTGTGTGCCCACGTAGAGGAAGAAGTTAAAAAAAATTTACTCGTGGACCAGCGATTATAAGATATTATAAGTAACTACACATTTTCATTGTTCCGTTTACTTGTCTTTTTAGTTAAGAAAAATATTTTTCTTATAAAAAAATTATTTAAGTGGATTTTTAAATGAATAATTACAATACAAAGAATGTGCTAAAATAAGCCATTTTTTTGATAACTCACATCAAAATACGAAACTGGAAATCAAAAGTTTAAAACAGAATTAATTTATGGTAGTCCGAGTTGAATTTTAGTGATCTCGAAACAACGAACCACCTATATTTAATGCATGATTCATTTCTGTGGTATTTGTTTCCAGTGAAAAAAATAAATAAATATTACTTGAGGAAATTTTGCCCCCTTTCAACATTAAAATATTCACAGAAAATTAGAGTATGAACAGATTAAAGGGAATCAAGTAACGGGGATTGTACTGATTAAAAATCGTAGACCTGTCTGGACTTAAATATTATCACTTTATTTATTAATTACATTTCGAATGAGCATCACGACATAATTTCATTGTATAAATTATTTATTTTTTTCTGTTGTCTATCGATTTCCGACAGTTCTATACGAGAAGCTATACCACTAACATTTTGGATTTTCGATCTTTGTCCAATTTTATTGTAAGAATGTACCCCTAATTTAGGGCTGAAAAATTTACATTGTGCTACGGGTACTTGGGGGTTAGTCCACTTCTCTAATTGTGGGGAACAAACTGAAATATCATCTGTTATATCTCTTAAAGATTGCGAAGTATTGCAATACAATGATCTTAGTGTATCTTCTTTAGTTCTTTGGATCCCTTCATTTGATAGCTCAGAATCATATTCATGTGTGTCGATAACTTTCTTTATGCTTCTTTCGGGATTTGTCTCTTGGCAAAATGGCGATCTTTTTACTCCCGATTTTACCGTTAAAAAACTCTTTTGCGCGGAAGACAACTCACTTCTGTGACTTGATTGGGCATTGAGAGGTATATCAGTTCTACTGTATTTGCGATTGACCCAATCCAGCGCTGCACTAGTGAAACTGTCTATTTTTAAATTTTCACTATTGTTAGATGATTGAACATCAACGGGTGTATTAGGTATTTTATTGTATTCACGATTGATCCAATCTAATGCAGCTCTAGTGAAACTATCAGTTTTCAACAGGGTATTTTCTTTGGACATCTTATCAGTAACATGCATATCAGATATTTTATTGTATCCATGATCAATGCATTGATGGTATGTTTCAGGATAAGATGCCTGAATTTTCTTGGAGAGGCAATTTTCATTCTTAAATTCACGATTAGAATACTCTCTGAATTCAAATCCATCTCTCTTATTCGGGTCTGAATCAACCAAGTCCTTGAACCTTTCTGAAATAGGAGTATCTATATTAATATTTTGTGTGAATAATCTAAGTAAATTATACGCGAATGCGTCTTCCGAGGAGTGTAGGATCCTTGATTTCATTTTTCTTAAAGCAGTCTGCTTTATCTTTATGTTATTAGTTAATAGCTTTTTCTGCGATTTCCCAATGGTTTTTCTTAACTTCGAATTATTTTCTGTTTTCGGAAAATCTATATTCCTTTGTCTTATCTGCATTGTTTCAGCAGGGGATAAGGAACCACCTTTTAAAGAAAGATTTTTTTCTGATATGTTCGAAACATCACATTTTTTAGAATTTTGTGGCTCATACGATGCTGTGGAACAATTGCAATGAGCAATGTTAGGAAAGTTGGAATAATTATTGACGATATTATTAGTTATAGAGATGGCTGGATCATTTTCTTTTGACAGTGGTGAATTGCTAGCTTCTTCCAATTTTCCCCTAAAATATTTGTCTGAATCTTTTTCAGGCGGAGTTTCCTGGGTACATTGGTCATTTACATTTACTTCAATGATTTCTTTATCGTTTCTTTTTAGTGAATACGGGACTTTGCATAGCATTTCATTAGAATCCAAATTATTTATTTTATTACTCCGGATGGACGAAAACTCCTTTTGTTCAACATTAGGAGAAATAAAGTTACATTCATTTCTGATATTGTTCGTAATTATTGTGTCAGAAGAACTTTTTGGAATTCCAGATGTTTGTTTTGAATCAGACACAACAGAAATTTTGTTATTATCAGAATTTGAATGATAAGAATTCAGTGCTTCTATTTTATAATCAATCATTTGAGAAGATTCTACATTTTTTGGAATATTTTTACAGTCTTCAACTTCGTGTAATGAGCTAGAAAAGCAATCGTCCAATTCATTCAACTCATCCTCGGATGCCATTGTTTTATCATTTCTATTTCTCAAAAATTGAACATTTTTTGGGGTAAAAACGCAATTACAAACCTGGTGTGAAAAATTATCTCCTAAAATATGTTTCTCTGTATAAAGGGAACCACTTCTCAACTCCTTCTCATTCTCAACGTTAGCTTTACTTTCCATGTGATCGACTTCATTAGTATACTGAGAAATCTTTGAAATGTCTTCTTTATTACGATTCAAAACATTTTGTGATTGGAAAGTTTCAGTTCTAAAACTGCCGCGGCCCGTAGTCAAATCAGGTATATTTTGCTTTTCCGGCCAGACCATCAAACAGAATAAAGGGACCATATCGATAACACTCTCGTTATGAGGGACAGGATAAACTGTGCTTATGGCATTAGATGGGTATTTCTTCAGGGTTTGATTAATGGTTGTTTCACATAAAGCTTCTTTATCAGACATTCCTGTGTCTGGATCATTTTGATCTTTTCCTACAAGATGAAAACCAGAGCTTGGTTTCATGTAATGGTATTCTTGTTCACCACTTCGTTTATAATTCTTTTGTGGTGAACTAGTGGTTTTAAAAAGTGTTAGTCGTTCTGGATCTGTAATTTCAGGCATTTCATCAACAAACTTTTCTCTCTGGTCAAAAGAATCTGAAAATGGTTTGGTTTCATAACTGTTATGCTTCTGCATACCGTATGGTGAAGCATGCGTGGTAGACAATACTTGATTTAAACCTAAAGTGTGTACTTGATCACTTTGGGATATTTTTCCATCTTTTGGTGGCAAATGTTCTCTTGCTTCCGTCTTAAGATTTTCATTTCTGCTAGTTTTCAACTGGTTTTTCAAATTATTTTCTCGTAGTGGCAGATAAATGTGCTTTCTCGCCGATTCACTTTTAGGTTCAATACTTGTATTATCTGTGAAGAATGATTGACTAGGCTCAGTTAAGCTATGCAACATAAGGTCAATGGCATCACTGGAACTAAGGTCATGAAGATAGACTGTTTTTTCTACACATTCTTCCTTGCGTGAAATCATAATACCACCCTCTTCGTTGGGAGCAAAAGTAGAAGGATAAAATTTGGTGTGATCAGCCATCAAATCAGTAGGAGCGTTATGTTTGTATTTGTCACATTCTGCGTTAAGATTTTGTCCTTCTGAAGTAGAAGTCTGACTAGGCATGGCTGTTGCGGACCTATTTTTTCGAATTACTTTCTCAATTTCAAACTGTTGTTTCAAAAGCCTTAACCTAATATCAGCTCGTGATAATCTATCTAAAAGGAAAGAATCTATTTCACTCGTATGAATTTCAGGGGCATCTTTCAATTCTTTTACATTTTCTTGCAATTCAGTTATAACTTCGATATGCTTGTCGATTTCAGACTCACTTAGAGCTTTAAAGTTTATACCACTCTTTCTTTCATATTTTTTACAATGGCTTCTAAGTTTGTTTAAAATACGCGTTCCTTTGTAACGACTATCCATGACGTCATTATCGCAGATGCTCTCTAAAGACCGACAAAAGTCCTCCAGTAGACGCTGCTGGCCGCGATAAAACTTCTCTGCTGACTGAATGTAATCCTTTTGTGAAAAGTTTAAAAGTTTTTCTTCGCGATAAAGATCTTGCAAGAGTGATTTTGATTCCAGCATGCTTTCAGCTAACTGATTCGAAACATTTTCAATAGTTGGTCTCATAGTAGGTACTTCTTTATCCAAGTTATTCCCATATTGGCTTTGTGAAATAACATCTCTTAAATATTGTTCATCATAATTATCTTCATCTTGCTCTTCAAAAATTCCTCCAATTTCCGAAACCAAGTTATTCCTATCTTGATCTCGTGAAAAAACGCGTTTTAAATATTGTTCATTATAATTCTTTTCTTTTGGGTTAATCTTTTTTGCTTCATCTTTCTGATTAAAAAAACTTCCAACTTCTGTTTGATCTTCTTCTTTCTTTTCCCCATTTTTCTTACGAAAAGTTTTAACTGATGTACTAGTCATGTCAGGCACATATTTTTCTTGTATAGTATACTGAGTTGATCTATCAACTAGATCACTATCAAACGTAGTGATATTTCCTGCTTTTGTCAAAGCGTCACCGTTATCATTTTTTTCATAGGTCGGATGTTGTTCAAAATGCCGGATACTGTTCAAATACTGTTCATTATAATTCTTTTCTTTTGGGTTAATCTTTAATCCTTCATCTTTCTGTTTTAAAAAACCTCCAGCGTCTGTTCTACGATCTACTTGTTTCTTTTCAACACTTTTCCTACGAAACGTTTTAACTGATGTCATATCAGCCATTGAGTTTTCTTGCATTGTATCCTGAGTGAATCTACCAAGTTGATCATTATCAAACTTAGTAGAATTTTCTGCTTTTTTTGAAGCGTCAACCTTATAACTTTTTTTATAAGTCGGAAAACGTTCTTGAACAAAAGATGGCTCACTGGAACTCGTTGTATTATTTTTATGAATGAATTTTTCGTTGAATATTTTACTTGAATCATGCTTATCAGCGATGTTATTTTTAAGTCTCTGAATTCGATGCGCTACTGTTCTCTGTTTGATTTCTTGTTTGCCCAGAAGTTTTTCATGTTCTTCTAAAACTTGAATGTAGGAATTGAATTTATCTTCAATTTTCTTTTTGCAGATATTAAGCGCCTCTGTTGAAGTAATTTTATCAGGCTGAACATCTTTTGGTTTTGTGGGAGAAAAGGTTGCTTTGATGTTGTGTAAATTATCAGATTCTATAATCAAAGGACTAGACACCTTAATTGTTTTTCCAGGAGGTAAAGTAACAACTATTTGATTGGTAGGTTTAGAACTTTTGTGACGATATGGTGTTACTCTATTTCTGTTAGAGGGTGGAGTCCATGTGCGAAGTAGCCTGGGACACATACCGCATTCCTTATTATCACGCTTTTTATTGAAACCTAGTTCAATTGTATCTTTCTCTCCTATACTGATACGGAAGCCGTAATTCTCTTTTCCAAAATTCATTTTAAATGATTGAGGTAATGTGAAATAACCTTCCATTCTTAAACAGATTCCTTCCTTAATTTGAAACTTGGTTCAACATCTATGAATAAAGAAATCCTATAATGTAATTCAATTTTGCAAACAACAAATATAATAAAAGGTTTTAATTTAACATTAACTGCTGACAGTTATATATATAAAAGACATCTGGCCAACTGTATGATTTTTGTCGGAGCATTCGTTCTGGACAAAAAATATTTTTAATGATATAATATTTAATGCTATAATCTTTAATGAACAAAAAAAGATCTAGATACCCTTAGTTGCAAATTGAAAGCCCTGTTATTTTAGCGTAGGAAGCACTATAAATAAGTTAGTTTTTACTGCCTTTAATTCAATTTTATGTGCTATGTCCAGCCAACAATTGTCTTTAGAGAAAAAAAAAGCTCCTCATTGTTATCAATAATATTTAACGCTTTGCCAACGGTATCCTAAAACTTCTCGTGGAATTTTTTTACTGGTAAGTATAATAAAATATGTTTCCTATCTATGTTGCCACTACTTCATTTATAACAACTGAAGTTTATAACATCTTGTAACCAACCTAACTGACTCGTATCATGCAAAAAAAGAAGTGTTTGATTGAAGTTAAACTAGGATCTAATCTGTAATACGTCAACAAACTTGACTCACTAGCCCATTAGTGCAAAGAAATATTCTGGACATACAGCTACACGATGGTTTTTATTTAGGTTAACCTGTTTAGAACGCCATTGTATCCGTTCATGTGGTGGATGTCGGTGAAACTTAGTACAACTTTCTCAGGAATATAGGAAAAAGCAATAAAAAATTAATCATATTTCGATCTATATTAGATGGTTCTCAGCTGTTCGTCAGCTCAGTTCTTCAGCTGTTTCTCAGTTCGAGAAAAGAACTAATACAATTTAGAGTGTAGTTTAAAAAGCCAATATCACTGCCGCAAAACTACACTGCATCATACCATTACCAGAGCCTGACTAAGGCAGGGACAAACGGGGCAGTTGTCCAGGGCCCCCAAATCGAATAGAAACTTAATTTGATGTGACCTTCTTTGATGAACTTTTTTTAAACAAAATATCAGTACAGGGTAAAATCCGTCAGTTTTATGTTACCTTCTACATTAATTTAGTGTATGAACACGAAATAATCTATATTTCGTAAATTCATGGCAGAATTCTAATAAATTTTCGTAATTACTATGGTCCAATTTGGTCAATCAAAAGCCTGTACTTTTACATACCGCAAAATGCTATAATATGTTTACAAAAAACGGGCTTCTGATTGGCTTAACTAATGCATTGTAATTGCGAAAATTTAGCTGAATTCCTCCCTAATGTCAGCAAGGATATGAATTTTTCGCAACTAGATGACAAAGTTTCCAAGCAGAAAACTGCATTTGGCATGATGGGCATAGAATTGTCAGAAAATCAATAAAATAGACAGAATGATATTTCGTCTTGCCATTGGAGGGGAGGGGGACTTTATAGCTACTTTAGGTTCTAGTCAATTTTACTTGTTATATATCTATTATGCGGTGAACAATTTAAATGCCGCCATTAAATTCGGTTCTTCATTACTGCAGTAGTGAAGCAGAGGGGCCCCGAAGAAGTTTTTGCCCCAGACCCCAATTAGGCTAAATCTGGCCCTGACCATTACAGAAGAACTATAAACTGATATTACTGAATGTACAATTATTGTATTCAAAGAAATTCGGGAGTTAGAGGCCATCACTATGGAAAGAAGATATTTAACAATTTAGATAATTATCAATATTTAACAATAAGCAAATAGATAAAATCATTAAAAAAAAGAGAAGAAAAAAAATTCTAAACATTTTTTTCCTGATTATTTGTTGGATAATGAAGCATCTAGATTCCTTGCAATATCAGAGATTCACTCGTAAAGATAAGATATTAATTTGCGATTTTATTTATTATCTTCCATAGATAAAATACGCGAAACACGTGTTTTTTTGAACTTCTACACAGTATATACGCAAGTTTATATTTAATAAAAAAAAAATACCCGTGCTCCTGTCTCCACAAGCCCAAAATTTAACTGATATTAATTAACGTCATCTTTTATGAAATATTGCAAACAAGTGCATTGATTTCAAAACGATCAAAGTACTTCACACTGTTAAAAACAAATCTTTCTGTAATAGATTTTTTTTAAATAAATAAATAAACTATCAACATAAAATATTATGTGTTGGTCAATTCCATACAATATACAGGGTGTTTATAAAGTCCCGAACCCATTTTGATGTTTAATAGCTCATAAAATAATAAAGATAGATTAAAATTAATAACATAAATGGTTATATAGACTCATGACCCTTGTCAATGAACTTCCACGTGTGCCCCCTTCGTCACACGGAGAATATCAAGTCGATAGTCAATTTCATGCCAGGTAGCGGCAAGCATGTCGGCATTCACAGAGGCTATTGCGGTTGTAATTCTGGCTTTTAGGTCATCAATGTTCGACACGATCCTCCTGTAAACATTGTCCTTTATAAATCCCCAAAGAAAAAAGTCCAGCGGCGTTATATCAGGTGATCTGGGTGGCCAAGGAATTGGACCTCCTCGCCCAATCCATCTTCCTGGAAAATGGTCATTCAAAGAACTACGAACGATGATACCCCAATGAGGTGGTGCACCATCTTGTTTCAAAAAGACATGTGTTATTGACAAGGGTCAAAAGGGTCAAGGGGGACAAAAAGAAGTTCATTGACAAGGGTCATGAAACGTTCTGAGTCTATCTAACCATTTATGTTATTAATTTTAATCTATCTTTATTATTTTATGTTGTTGTTGTTAATTTACGTCGCACTAGAGCTGCACAATGGGATATTGGTGACGGTCTGGGAAACATCCCGGAGGATGATCCGAAGACATGCCATCACAATTTTGATCCTCTGCGGAGGGGATGGCACCCCCGCTTCGGTAGCCCGACGACCTGCGCGCGAAGTCGAGCACTTTACGGTAGCACAGTTTAACGAGGACCAATACTTATTATTTTATGAGTTATTAAACATCAAAATGGGTTCAGGACTTTATAAACACCCTGTATATAAACTTCATAAATCATGTTGATGTTGTTGTCCTTCATGATCTAGTGCCTGCTAAATCTGAACCGTAAGTCCATGTACCCCCGATGAAATTAATAATCAAGAGGTAAGAGCAGGGCTAAAGAGAATAGAAGGGCTAGTTCATTCCGCTCTTGAGCTGAAGCTACGATTTCCCTCCTCATGACGTCACGCTACACACAGATCTCGGAGATCGCAAGCTAAGATATTATGAAAACTTTGTATCATTCTCTCTGTAAAAATAAGTTCGACTTTTTCTTGATATTAGCTTTCAAACTTTATGCAACTAACATATTTCCTTTCAAAAACATAGTTTAATGTATATATTGACACTTTTTTAGCTACATATTGCTCTATAACAATAATTTGTAAATTTAGAATCTTGGTTTTAAAATCTGCTGTTAATGGCAATTTGTTTATACTTAATCATTAGGAAACAACAACCTTAAACGCTAATTAGTCTAACAAAATAATAATTTAGGTTCATAAAAATATTAGAAATTTTACAATTGTTTATAAATATTTAAATTTAAAAGAATATAATAATATTAAAAAAAATAATTATATCATAATTAAAAAAATAATAAATATTTAGAATAACTACATTAAAAACTACGTTATGAAACCAGGTGATTTTAACTATTAATTATCTATACTTTTCATTTAAGCTTTTATTTTCTTTGATTCTTTTTTAATTTTTTCATCTGCCTTTTTTTTTTTTCAAGGAGCAGGGCGGGTTTAATTTAGATAGCGAATTTTTATAAAAGTTCTGAAATGCAAAATAAGCGTATTGCTGTTTTATTCACTGCGTGGATATCGTCCTTCTAATTCACTTATAAATTCTTTGATGACACTTCTTGATTTTCCGTCCCATGCACACTTCGAAAAATGTTCTCAAATTCCTGACACACTTCCATCCATGCTGCTGACGGAACAATTAGTCCCCCTTTGAAAAGAATGCACTTGGTAGAGTTAGAGCAATTTTAAAATCATTCTAATCCGCAATTTAAGCAAACGATTTCTCATATCATCTTCATAATCTTGTTTTAAGAAATGCTTACAGCATATTCGTTCATATTTAATATTAACTGGATCATTTCGTTCATTTCGTTAGCAATGTTGAAGTCATTCTTTACATAGTTGTTAATTTACTTTAAGGAACACGTGGAAAATTATATTTTTTTAAATTTGGTACAATTTTAAGCCCAAGATTTTACAATTACAAAATTATTTTTGAATATATGGGGGAAAATATATAGAAATTTACCAGTCATAAATAATTTTTATTTGTAGTGACAATTTTTGAAAATATTTTCTTACTTTACCACATTTTTGTGTTGATTTTTTAATATAATTTTTTTTTTCTCAAATTATGTCTAAATTTTCACAAAATAGGTACCTCTCAAAAAAACTTAGACAGACCACTGATATTTTAGGTCATGTTTTCCAGAGCAAAGCCTAAACAATCGAGGGCATACTTGGGAAAAATCGGATTCTTTCAGAACTTAAGACAAATTGGCGAAACTATTTTGCCAAATGCATAAATTGCATCGAAATAATAAATCGGGGGGACAGTAAGAAACCAATTACTACAGTGCCTATATTAAAAACCTATGATAACAGCACATATTATAACAAAACCTAGTACAAGCATCACTAGCGTCTATAACAATATGGAGTTTTTTTTTTATAGCTCCCAAAACGGATAAGTACTTGTAAATCTTTACAAATTTATTGGGAATCAGTACACACAGAACAGGAATAAAACTTATTGAACGCTTTTAAGTCTCAAGTAAAATACCTTCATTTTAGACAATGACAAAATTTATTCTGTAAATAATACTCTTAAAGAATCCTAGAATTTTCATAACGTAAAATCTAATGAGATATTGAAAGGTATAATTTAGTAAAATCTCCTTACTTTATCTAACAACGCAGGCTAACTTTAAAATTATGAATAATTTATTTAACAAATTTTAATTAATATAAACAGTTTTGAATTTTGTTAGTACTCCTACAAATACCTCCACAATAACTTCATACTCAAGCTAACCTTAAATTAATTTGTATTCAATTTTTTCAAGTATTTTCATCTCACTTTCTGAATATTCTCGAGTTCTGTTTCACATAAATAGAAAAGTATAAATTACTTACTAAATGTTTTTAGAAAAATGAATTTTTTAGGAAATTCAGTATGGTAGAATTTTGTTAAAAAAATCAAATGCGAAATGAAAAACTTTTAAGTAGTTATCTCTTCTTGGTATCTAGAGCAGACATTACACTCGTTTTACACAATATAATGCAAATAAATAAATGAATTAAAATAAAAAATAAGGCCAAATCAAGAATAATTTTTTTTCTCCAACTATCAATTTTGTATAAATGTAATACTATGCTGTGAATTATTTATATAAAAAAAAAATCGACACATACTTCTTTTTAAATATTTATTTCCTTTTTAACATGCACACGGTTGACAGTAGTATCTTATTTACAATTCACTAGAGCTCATTATGGGCTATAGTAGACGCTCTGGGAAACCGAAAATATGCGCGCTAAGTCTAGCACTTTTTGGCAGAACAGTTTAACGAGGACCGATACCGGGCACCCTCAGTCCCTTCGCAGGATGATCACCCAACCACTGGTAGTGATGTTTGGCTTCGGTAATCTATTAGGACCCGTGTCTTAAGATCAATCCACCATAGAACGCACAAGAATGGAAATAGGTATAGTCTGTCTATGGAAAGAACTCCCTTTGCTATTCGTGTTAAGAAAGTGGCGGTGACTATGGTTAAGAGGTTTAATTATTTCAAGAAGAATTTAAGACAGGATTTAGCTTAGTTCGACGAGAGAAAGGTAATCAGGAGGGGGAGAAGCTCCCCACTATAAATGTGCCATTGCTGGTTCCTACAGCAGCAGACAGCCAGAGACTCTAGCAAGGGAAAATATTAATGTTTTTTGCACTCTTTTTTATATTTTTAGGTTAATGAACTTAAATTAAGCTAAAATACATACGTGGTTTATTAGAATAAATCACGTATTCAAGTGAGTTTTGATTTAATCTAAAACTTTTATTTAAAAAAAAAAAAGGAAGATCGAAGTGAAATGTTTTAAGAAGGCGAGCACTTTTCTAGATAAATATACAATTTAAACTATCAAAGGAAAAAACCTTTTTCCTACATTCTAATTTAAAAATTCTAAAAGAAACAACCACTGAAACTAGAAAAAATAGTCTGTTTTTGTTTGAAGTATAAATTTTACGGTTGCATTTAGAGGATAATACAAATATATAATTCTTCTGATTCATCAAACAATTAATGCACCATTGGCACATCATTTCCTTCAAGGTTGATTCAGGTGTTAAACAGGGTTGTATTGTACCTTCTCCAACAATAATTTTAATTGCTATTGACTGGATAATGAAGAAGGGAGTATTAGAGAATATGTTTATTTATAACTCGACCTGCCCTATTTAAGGGCATACGAGTGTAGATTCATAAAACATACATTAAACATACATAAAACATCAGAAATTATATAAAATCACAGAAATTTAAAAATCACAGATGTCAGTGGCAACAGCCGACAGAAAAAATACAACATTACAAGTAACAACACAAAAAAAGGTATAACATCAATGACATCTGCCAAAACTGAGCCATTATAAAAAATAAATAAATAAACAAATAAAAATCCAATACGGTCCCTCACGCAATTAAGAAATCAAAAGAATACAATACAAAAAATTTAAAATCTCAAGAAAGAACGATAAAAATGGTCCCAAAGTTAAAAAGAAACATAATAACATCACACACTAAAACAAAGGACTAAGTAGTTAAAATCATGACCTATAACCGGGCCAAGACGTATTAAAAAAAAAAATATTTAAAAACAGAAAAAGGTTGAAAGCCCAGGAACAACCATCCAGTAGTTAAGCTCAAAGTCTAAAATTAGTAAATTTATAAAAATAAATAATAAAATAGTTAAACATGATACGGTTGAGACACCCAAATTAGAGGNTGGCTTCGGTAATCTATTAGGACCCGTGTCTTAAGATCAATCCACCATAGAACGCACAAGAATGGAAATAGGTATAGTCTGTCTATGGAAAGAACTCCCTTTGCTATTCGTGTTAAGAAAGTGGCAGTGACTATGGTTACGAGGTTTAATTATTTCAAGAAGAATTTAAGACAGGATTTAGCTTAGTTCGACGAGAGAAAGGTAATCAGGAGGGTGAGAAGCTCCCCACTATAAATGTGCCATTGCTGGTTCCTACAGCAGCAGACAGCACTTTTGCACTCTTTCTTATATTTTTAGGTTAATGAACTTAAATTAAGCTAAAATGCATACGTGGTTTATTGGAATAAATCACGTATTCAAGTGAGTTTTGAATTAATCTAAAACTTTTATTAAAAAAAAGGAAGATCAAAGTGAAATGTTTTAAGAAGGCGAGCACTTTTCTAGATAAATATCCGATTTAAACTATCAAAGGAAAAAACCTTTTTTCTACATTCTAATTTAAAAATTCTAAAAGAAACAACCACTGAAACTAGAAAAAATAGTCTGTTTTTGTTTGAAGTATAAATTTTATGGTTGCATTTAGAGGATAATATAAATATATAATTCTTCTTATTCATCAAACAATTAATGCACCAATGGCACATCATTTCCTTCAAGGTTGATTCAGCTGTTAAACAGGGTTGTATACCTTCTCCAACAATAATTTTAATTCTAATCGGATAATGAAGAAGAGAGTATTAGAGAATATAAGGGGTATAAGCTGAATATCGCTGACCTTTTTTTTTTTTTTTTTTGCAGACTTATGTTTACTGACCAACACCCTTCAAGACATGCAAACAAACACATCTTAAACAGAGGAGGAAAAATGGAGCATATTATCAAAAAAAAATAAAATTTCGAAAATAGCCCTAAACAATTAAATGACATATTCTTAAAAAAAATAAACTAGAGGAGGTAAGCAATTTTACATATCTTGGAAGTATAATAGCAGGGGAGGAACTAATGAAGTTATACTAAATAGATTAAACAAAGTTGGAAGCATTTACGCTATCCTCAACAATTTCTGGAAAAACAAAAACATGACAAATTTTAATATTCAATACGATTGTGAAATTTGTCCTACTATATGGATCCAAGACTGCAATAAAAATAATTTGAAAAAGCTTCAAGCATTTATTAAGAAAAATCTTGTGTATCAAGTGTTTCCATAAAGTTTGTAATACAGAAATCCTTAGCAAAGCGAAACAAAAACCGATTGATTTGAAAATTAAAAAATGTAAATGGATTGATCATGTTCTACGTAAACTTGAAAAATTTAAAGTAAAACAAACTTTTGATTGGAACTATCAGGGCAATAGAAAAAAAATAGGAAGACCTAAAAGTACTTGGAGCAGGAAGATAGTAACTTAATGGAAAACAATAAGAAAAACACAGAGGCTTCAAATAAAGTAAGATGGAAAGCTATGATAGTGCTCTATGCTTCAATTCATACACCATATTTTAAAAAAAGTTTAAAATATTCTAATAAAAATTAAATTAAAGACATAAAAATTCCGCTATGTTCCTATGTCAGATATGTAGGTATAATCTTTTACTGTTTAATGTTGCAATAGGTACATAAAGTTTTGTGGATTTAAAAAAACAAGGATTTAAAAGAAAACACAATATAAAAAAATATAGTTAGAAGAGTACACAAGACTTTTAAATTTCCAATTTGTTTAAATAGTCTTAAGAACTATATAATTTTTAAAATAAATATTTATATTATATTTAATTGCATAGATTATGAAAAATTACATAATTAAGACTGATAAATATATCCAAATTAAAATTATGTTATCTTTGTTTATGTAATGAAGTTAAATACTTAATGTTGAACATTGTATTTATTTACTTGAATATTAAATAGCAGACCCAATTTGAACATGAAATTTAGTTGCTTTAATATCAATTGATATAGTTAACCTGTACTTTATATCAGAAATATTTTATGATTTCAGATGCATTATAGATCAGGTTATAGTGCTAAGCTTAATCAAAATAGGGATTTCTTATGTTAACATCTTATACTATTATGGTTGGGAATCGCATTAAGACAATATTGAAACATACATAAATAAAAAGGCATTTAAAAAATTTTAAAATCACTGAAAAAAAAATTAATATACCCCACAGAAAAAAAAAGAGAAACTTTTAAAAACTTAACCAGTTGAGAATCTTGACAAAATATTGGAATAGTAATTAGAATCAACTTTTATTGGTTTTTAAAAAACACATGTACGCAGTAATTCTGTGTTTCCCAAAGTGTGAAGTTATGCGAAATATCTTGCAACAAACTAAAATTTCACATTTTTTTTTTAAAAAAAACAAAGCCAGCCATGAAAATTTACGATTACTATTTTTCTATTGGCTATCTTTTGCAGAGTTAACAGTTAATAATTAGGGGTATCAACAGCCAGTTGTGATTTTTAACTTTTAGGCAATTCCTTTACAGTAAAAAATACATTCATTTTGTATTAGTGGTACACAGCGCTACGAAAAATTTAGAAAGGGTACACATAAGTTTGGGAAACACTGCAGTAAGTGATTGTAAATAATTTAACAAACTATAAACTTTACTATTGTAAATAAAACTGCTTTAATTAAAGATTAGACATAATTGCAGCAATTTATTATTTTCACCTCCAATAACCATTTTGTGCCAACCATTAAGCTCACCCCTTGGTTTTGGTCCAGTTGTATTCAGCAAAGTACAAAAAGGCTTTTTAAGGAATTAAACAAAATACTGAATTTTTTTTTCTTTAAATTATTAGATTCAAGACTTAGTCATGGTAAAAATTTGCTTGAGTGGTTCCACAAAGTGACACGCATGTCATGAGTTAGTGATAGATTCTTTATTCCTTTACCTTATTCGAAATTTTAACACACATCACTTACAGAATGAAAATAGCAATTGAAAAATGTTAAAATATTCTTGGAATGGCAAAATTTTCAAAGTAATGAAATGCCAGTGTCTGAAAATTTATAATTTTATAAGATAATATTACATAATTATTTTGAAAAATATATGTAGTAAAACGAAACATGAAGACAGTTTAAAAAATATCTCACTTCTTTTTTAAAGAGTTTAACAAGAGTAATAAAAATTATAATTTTTAAAATAGAAAAATGCTAAAAGTATTATGATTGTTAATAGTATCGAGGAATAACTCAGGACAATTGCAAAGCACAAAACTTTATTAACAAGAACGAGGTAAATGCTTGAAGTAAAACAGCTTATCTACATTGATTAAATGGTAGGATGAAAAATGCAAGACAAAATATTAACACAAATAAATCACAACAATGCTTTTTACATCACATAAGTATTAATTTTTGCCAGTTGAGCCAAATCCTCCCTCTCCTCTCTCAGTTTCATCCAAAGTCTAAAAAAAAAAATTTATAATTAATTTAGAAATGTATAAAACATAGAACCATGAAAGATAATCAGTGGCATAATTTAGACATCGACTTTTCAGTACAGAGAATAAAAAATCTGATTACCTAAAACCAACGATTAAAATGAGAGGAATTTAGTCAAGGACAACAACCGTTTCATTAAACAAAAATAAGTACCATGGTAGGTGTCAAAACAGAGAACACAGAAAAATACCAAAAGAAAAATAAATATTTCTCATGAACTAATAAAATTTAAAATACAAATTTCAATGGAAAAAAAAATTACTAGAGTAGGTAGAGTGAGAAATCAATGCCAAAGTGGGGAGGGGAAAAAAGAACTGCTTGAATTTACAGGCAATTACTAAAAAATTCACAGTCCATTGATTTCTTGCACATTTTATTACTAAGACATAAAAATTAAATTATCTTTAAATTAAAAAGATCATAAAAATTACAAATTCTTTAATTAAAAAACAAAGGCTGACAGAATTCACTGGCCATAATAGTATGTAAAAAATAAAGTTAATAAGAAATAATTGATAATTAAAATATAGAATTTTGAAACAAGTATTTATTTGATAGAAAAAATTATGTTTTTCCAGCTTTAAACTTTATTTGCTGTTCTATAGTTAACAAAATTTAAAAACGATTCTAAAATATTCAAATCAATCTACAACTTTGTCTGAGAAAATAGAAAGCTGAAATGTCCATTTATAGCCTCATTATTAAAACTAATTCCATAGCATCGAACAAAGGGAAAAATCTAGTTGATTTTAACGAAATAATAGATATGGCAATTTAATTATTGTAAATATCTATACTTTTAATCACATGAAACTGCCAAAGTGTAATAAAACATATAAATAAAATAACATTCCACTATGATCTGAAATTGACAGCAATATTTTCTATTTAAGATTGGCAAAAAATGACTTGGTTATAGATCATTTTTATTATTTTATATTTATTTTCAAATTAATCTTTCAATAACAGATTTTAAAATAATTTTAGATAGTTTTAACCAGAGCTCACACTAAGGTACTTAAACTATCACATGGTTACCACTCCAGGGTGCATAGATAAATTTTTCAACAAAAAAAAGCACCTTTTAAGTACTTTTTAAGCACTTTAAAAAAATATAATTAGGATATGCGTGCTAATAATTTTTTCCCTTTCATATTGTTGAAATATGAAAGGGAAAAAATTATTAGCTATATATGTTAACAAAATTAAACTATTATATATATGTTAACAAAATGCAAAATAATTTTCTAAGTCACATGATCTTATAAAATAACTACTAGTTTCTGACAAAGAATTTTTTTCATGATTATATTAGCCACCATAAAAGCAATTAAGCACAATTTTAAATATATTCAATATTGAGTTAATCTTTCAATTTTTTAAATTAATAATTACTTTACACAATTACATAAAAAAATCATTCAAAATTATAATTAATTTAACAGTAATTTAAAAAGATCATCTCACTTGCAAAATTCAGCAGAGTTGCTCATGAGAACACACGAATCCTTCCCACCGAATCCAGCTCAGTATTTAAACCCGCAAGTATTTCCTAGAATGACTGGCGCTTTCATACGCTACGGACCGATGGTATGTCGAAATAGATTGTAGTTGAATGAATTATAAAAATGTTGAACAGAACAATGTGAAAACCACACTTTTTGCGTAATTCGAGGCAAAAATTGATATGGTAAAGAAAGGGGAAATTAAGCACTGTTTAAAAACACACAATGAAAAAAACACCTTTAAGGGCTTTTCAAAAACGAAAATAAGCTTTATTAAGCACATTTTAAAAACGCTATGCACCCTAAACTCAATTTCAGAAAAAAAAAATTTCGACTTTTCCAGGTATATCAGGTAAATTTAGATGAAAATCCATTCCATATTTTATCTACACCCTGCAATTTTTCATTGGAAAACATTTTTTTTATAAACATTTAAAACAGGGTTGGGAAGGTTTAGGACAGAATGGATTAATCCACGGTTTAAACCCTGGATTAAACCGTCCTGTCCAAAACCCTTTTACTCAAATTATGCCACAATTTTATCTGAACAGCATTTAAAAGGTAAAATAAACACAGAACTTATAACATATTGATAATTAAATCTACTAGAGAATATTTGTTTTTAAAAGTATAATGTTTTATTAATATTGTTTGACTCTTCAATTAAAACATTAAATAGAGGAAGACTAATCAGTAATCAAGTTCAATTGGTCCTCTCATTCAATAGTACATAACTGAAGTTTGGCTTTGCCATACAGGTTAAGCCATTAGGGACTAAGTGCTTGGTTAGTCATAAACAGGTATATAGTACTATTCAAGAATACTTTTACTTCATTCATGTTCAATTCTTTTAGCATAGTGGTGNGTTGAAATTGATCCATACTTCCGTTTCGACTTAAGACATCCTTGAAATTTTTTTTTTTTAAATATACGAAGACTAAACGAATAATTGATATCACGTTGCTAGTTTACGAGCTTGTTGCCAACCGTGGAAAAATACGCATTAAAAACTATAAAAACAGCAAGATACAATATCAATTCCAACTATCGAGAGTACGAGTTTCCCGACTGCTGAACGGACGTCACTCGATAACGACATGTGACGTCATTGCATTCAACTCCACACGAAAGAAGAGGAAGATTTCACCTGCCCCCAGTGTAAGGGGGCGGGTGAAATAGGAGTGTTTTTAGAGGTAACGTTGAAGAGGGGGGAAAATAAAGCATGTTCAGCTACGCTTCAGGCAGATGGTAGTTTGATAAGAGGGGGTGGAATTCAAGCTGAAAGAAAAACTTACCTTCGCACTCGCGGAAAAATTAGGTAATTTTGAGTTTGGCCGTCGATCGCAGTAAAATTCGGGAGTTTTTCAAATCAATTCCGGAGGGCGGGAGAATAACTCAAAATTCGGGAGACTCCCGCAGAATGCGGGAGAGTTGGCACGTCTGTAATACATTTTTCAGTTATTTTGTATTTCCAACTTAAACTAATGTATTTAGATTTAAAAACAATTTTTTTAATATAGATGTCTTTTTTATCATCCTGTAAAGCAGGAATTATAAAAAATTTTAAAAAAAATATTGTGAAAAATAAAAGGTTAATTTTTAAACAAATTTAGTATTTTTTAAAAAAAATTATTATTTTTTTTAAATATTGCATTATTTGTCCTTATGCAAAAACATCAGTATTAAAAGCATATTTATATTTAAAGGATTATATATTTACTTTTGTTGTTCAATAAATTGTAGAGCTTCAAAAATTAAAAAACCTTTTCTTATTATATTATTTTTCTTTTTAACAAGTTGAAGAAAATTGCATAAAAAATATCAAATATTTATTGATATATGTAATTATGTGTACAATGGCTACACCTATTGAATTTTCACCTTTTACCAAAGCTCAAGATTTTGGACACTTCAAGACAGTTTAAGCCAGATTAGGACAGTAAAACTCACGAGTCCTGTCCAAAACCAGATTAGGAAGTTCGAAATCCTAACCCTGTTTTACATAATGGAATAAGAATGAAAACATGGCTAAGTTTCCCTAAAAAGTAGAATTTCATAAAAAAAATTGTAGTAGCTGTTTGAATTATTTAACTCTAATCTCAATAACTGATTACAGTTATTGACAATTCTAAGATTGGTAATTTTCCAGGTATTTTGTAAAAAACACCAGACCTGGCTTTTCATCAGAAAGTAATGAGCAAAATTCAGAGCTATTTTTTTTTAACTTTGACACTTCCAGTAAATAATTCTGAAAACAGAAATACATTTATGTTTTAATAGTGATTGAGTAATGAGTTATTGCCAGATTCTTATAGGTAAATAACTAAGTTTGTTATCGGAGAAAAAAGATTCACTAAATAAAAGACTCATGGCATACGATTTGGTCGGCGTGGCAACACATTAATTGCAATACTGGCAATAATGCCAATTGTTGAGGAATAAGAGGTATTTTTGTCAATAGCAGATATTTATCTTTAAAAAAGGAAATTTCTTCAATAAATACGGAGAAATTTGGGAAAATACAGGTAATTGGGAGACGGTCATAAAATAAGGGAGTCTTTGAAAAAACATGAGACTTGGAAGGTATGTAGTAGACCGAAGAAAAAGATTCCCTTTCTCTCTTCGACCTGAACCAAAACCTGTCCCAAACAAACTACTTGAAATAGTTATACCTCGTTACCATAGTTACAGTCATGGATTCAAACGAATGGATAGGGAGTTCTTATTTTAGACAAACTATATATCTGTTTTCCTATAAATTCTAGATAATTGCCTGTTATAGACAATTTAGGAACAGATAGCCAGCAAAAAGATATGGTTCTGTAGATATCGGACATTTAAAAAAAAAAAGAGGACAAAAGAGCCATAAATATGATAATGACAAATTTAAAATGCAAAGTACATTTTCCCATAGTGTAAACTGAGGATGCTGTTTTTGAAGTATCAAATAACTTTTCATGGGTGATGTTGAAAGTTATGGGATACTTTAGACTCATCAATCTTTATCAGTTAAAAACATGGCAAAAAAGAATAGTGCAAAAAGAGTTTTATTGCTTTCTGAAGGAAATGGTAATAGTGAAAATCTCTTTAGTTCCAACACTATTACTTCTCTTTTAAGAAGTGCATTTTTGAGTATTATATTTTTTTTATTAATTTTCTATTAATTACGTAATAAGTTGCACTCGATTTAAAAAAAGGGGCAAGAGTGAGAGAAAAAAAGACAAAGGACAAAATCTAAAGATTATCTCATAATGGTCCCTGGCTTCCCTACTATCGAGGGATACCGACCACTCAGTTCTAATGTCAGTGTTCATATCTCTGATATTTATGCCGCATTAATTTTTTACGTTTGATCAATGAATGTCAAACTTTAAAAGTTGACCCCTGATTTTCTGAAAATTTTATAGGCTTCGATAGTCTACTTATATACTGAGTATGTCATTAAAAAGTGTATTACTTGTATGTTCAAACAGAAATTCTTAATTATTAGCAAGTTTTAAAAACTTTTGACACTTACATTGGCACTACAACTGATTTTGTTAATTTAAAACATTTTGAATTTAATAATATTTAGGACATTGAACTATTACTTTTTATACTACTCAGTATAATTATGAGTAAGCTGCATAAAGAGAAATTCTGAAAACAATATTACTACCAAACTATTACTCTGCATAGTCACTAAGACACAGAGGGAAAATGTTATGTAATGCAATCAGCATTGCCTTGACCAGTAATTGAAAATAAAATTAAGGCACTGCATAGGTAAAATTTTAAATAATAAACATATTAGTAGAATTAAAAAAAGAACTTTAAAATAAAAAAAATATTGTTGTACCTCTACTTCCTCCAATTCTGGATAACAAATTTTTTCACAGATCAGCTGAGCAATTCGATCTCCTTTGTTGACTAAAGCAATGATATTGAGAAAAAAGATGCAAAATATTTAGCAAATGTAAACTAATAACAGCTTAAATTTTTAAAGTAACTACGACTTAAGATTATTATAAAGAAAAAGATTCAACTTAGCAGGTACTGATAGCAGAAATGTTCATTAATATGAGCAAAAAGAAGCTGCATTTGTATTTAAGATCGATGAAACTAAAGAATTTAACAATGTAGATGAAAAACAGATAGCAAGAATGTAACAGTAATTCGGTCTGCGGATTGTACTTTAGAAGCTGTTAAATGCCCAGTCCTTTAAGCAAGAAATGTGCAACTCAGAATGGTTTTGAAAATAAAAAATCAGAAACCTAGAAGCAAAATTTTTATGGATGGGCAGCAAAGCCCAGTTTATTTTAACCATGCAGAGTTAACATAAATGGAGAAATTATAATGAGAGTAAAAAATTTCAGTTTTAATTAGAAACCTTAATTTGTCCAAACACAATCACTTTTTAATTTTGCTTATCAATAAACAAAATAGTACTAAATGAAATACTAACAGACTAATAATTAATATACACACATAATAATCAATGGATTCTACTTTTTCCATCATCTTTTAAGATTTTAGATAATAGGTTCAAGCACAAATTTATTTTGTTCATGTAAAATTTTATAATTCCAGAATATAAAGAAAATTTAAAACTTTATTAAGATGTAAGTTTACTGGTTTAATCAACTTAGATCAATGTTTATTCAATTTTTTTTTTTTACTATTATTCTTTTTCCATTAACACTTACAGTAGAACCATGCTTATTGGACATAACCAGAAATATGTTGATATTTTGTTGAAATCAATGAACCCTATTTTTTATTTTGATACTTAAATACATTCATTTTCGGAAATCGCCAAAATCTTTCTAAATGCTTTCAATTATGCAGAAAAACAACCTTCTAATAAAAGTAACAAGGGTCGAAGAAAATTACTCAACTTACAGCCCTAGTCCTAGAATTATTATTTTGTAGTCCCCTTAACATAATTGAAAAAAAAAAAAAAAAATTACCTACCATTACTGTTAGTTTTTTTTTTCCTAAACAATTAATATCTAAAATGTATAGGTTCAAGCTTAAAGCACCAAATTTTTTGACACTATTATTCTGTCCTCATAGAAAATTTTATTTTGAACATGTTTCAGTTACAGCAAATTATCTGTAACGAAAATGTTAAATCAATACAAATTTAGTTGAATAACTTATTTAAAAATTCTAAATTTTTTTACAGGGCAAAAGAAAAATATGAAATCACTTTCAAGGAGCAAGTAAAACAATGTTTAATTTTTCAAGAGAAAACTTATGTAGTTCATATCTTAAAATTCAGTAAAAATAATTCAGCAAGTGGAAGTTAAAGAGTTTTCCTGTTAATAAATTTAAGGAAATAAATTAGCAATAAGTCTCAAACTTTTAAAAACATAAATTCAAAATAAATTAGCCAGATTCTATTAACAGGGGTCTGTCCAGACATTTTGTGAAAGGTCCGTTTTTCGTTAAATTGTGAAAAAATTACTCACATTCCTTCAACCAGGGTCCGCTTTTATGAATTTGTGCAAATAGGGTCCGTTATTGCAAAAAAAAAATTTTTTTTAGGAGTTTTTAAATTGTAAAGACATACAAGATTATGCTCAACACTGTAAAATTATAATTAAAAA